TATCAAAGGGATTTCAAGGTCGCTGGTTACGAATAATATAAAAATTATTTGCACTTTCGAATCAAAAAATTAGAAACAAATTTTATTTTTCATTTAGACCAAAGGTTAAAACATTTTTATAAATTAATTACCAGTTAATTTTATTTATAACAACAATAAATATAGTTTAGAAAAAATCAACTATATATTAACAATGAATATAGAGTCTTTAAGTATCAACTTTATAATTAACTTATTAAAAATAGCGGTAGAGTTTATTCATCTTCGGTCAATGAGTCGAGAATTAGTAATGGTAGTACATCATCAGGCAGCTCTTTTTTACTTTTTTTGGCAAACCTCGTAATTCAGCAATGATTGGATCTGTTTGTTGAAGCATCATTTTCATTAAGTCAGTTGTTGTGTCTAAGCGACTGCATTTTCTAGTGTGTCTTTCTCGAACTCGTCTATATATTTTATTACTGGCTTCTTGAGCCTCTTCAGACATCATCCCTATTGACAGAATAATCGCTTCAGCAACTGCACCTCCATGAATAAGGATTTTGTGTACGCTGACTGGCATCCGATACCATGAATATTTTTCAACGTACAAATTAGCGGTGTCCTTTGCAAAGTTATTAAAATTCGTGATGTTTAAAGAGTACCCACTTGACAAAGCTATCATAATAATTCCAAACCTTCGAATTAAATTTCCATCAACTCCTGTGATATTGGCAGAATTTTTATAATTTTCGAAAAAAGTTCTTCCTACATTTCCAGTGTTGGATGTGCCCTTCCCTTGAACCAATTTGTCAACTCTTATTCCCATTTTTCACGCATAGAAAGGGTTTGCTGTGGCAGCGAACATTTTGCTGCCACAGCAAACCTTGTTCATTGAAATAGGGACAGCGAACAAGTTCGCTGTGAGATCAAACAAGTTCGCTATGACAGCAAACTCGCATAAATTTTTACTAATGTTTGCTGTCACAGCTAACATGTTCGCTGCCACTGCAAACTTCTTATCTGTGGTAGCTAATTTTCAGAAATTTTACAGCAAACATCTGTTTACTGCTGCAGCTAATTTCTTTTTTTCCGTGTTTGATGTAACTCGTGATGTATGCGTTTTTGCAGCGTTTTTATTATATCAGCTTGTTCTGAAGTAATGCCTCGAAGCCTTAGTTTTTTATTCCTAAGGTCCAATATTCCTTAATCCAATAAGGTGCATTGGAACTAATGTCATAAGGAACAAATTGGCATCAGTCACGTTAGAGTCCTAGTCAGTAGCATCCATATCCGCGAGAGAATCAGTAGGTTTCTGCATATATTCTGAGTATCCTGAACTTCCATCTGCGCCCCATTTGCAAATTAATTAAACTCTCTTTACTCCAGGTAACAATTTGTTGGAGCATAAAAGTCGCGTTGCAGTATGTTGCAATAAATTTTGTAAAGGTACTTAAGCACCTAGAAACATTTAAAAAAATGAAGAATATTGGAGATATAAAATTGCAATGCGACACTAGTGGCCACTATGCCCGCGGTGATAATTTTCTTTGCGAATTATTTATAGTTTTTTCGAATATTTTTGCTCACCTCTGTTTGAAACAGTCACCCCTTCTTGAGTACAATGCGCTTTCACTTTCTTAACTTCTTCATAAGAAGGATAAATATTCGCGTTTCTTTTCTTAGCTCCTAACCGCCCAGTGGGCACAGGGACGTCTAAAAGACGTCTTAAAGACGTCCCTTTTTGTCCGCGGACGATTCGGGAACAATGATGGCAATGTCTCTGAGTCATCAAAAAGACAACTAAAAGACGTTCTATGTCTGGTCCAAAAGACGTCTAAAAGACATAAGAAAGGACGTCTAAAAGACATAAAAGGGACATCTAAAAGACGTCTTTAAGATGTCTTTTGGACGTCCTTTTTACATTCCTTCAGATCTAAAATAAACATTTCTTTTATAACACTTTCTAAGTTGAAATTCAGTAACATTGTATTAAATTTATTTTAAATTTAATTTTATTTTTTTTAAAATGTGGAGAAATAATGAAAAAATTCCTACGAAGCTGGGATCGAACTCGGATACCTTGGGCTTGAAGCACTGCGCCTTAAGCACCTCAGCCGTTAAAGACAGATATGAACCTCTACAAAGTTAACGATCTCACTTGTCAATGAAATGAATTTAACTTAGAAAAATTCCAATGAATTTCACATTAATAAATTTCTAAGTCCAAGTTGAACTTAGAAAATAATATTTTCTATTTATGAAAATTTTTCTATTTTCAAATGTTGAATGAAAAAGACGTCTTTTAGACACTTTAAAGACATCTAATGGCCAAGACAGAACATGAATAGGACGTCTTTAAGACGTCTTAAAGACGTCTTTTTGTACAAGTCCAAAAGACGTCCGCAAAAAGACATCCTTAGGACGTCTTTTGAACAAGTGTGCCCACTGGGCGGGTCTCAATGTATACATCCTTTGTCATTCCTGCATTAAAAATATGCGCCAAAGCTTTCTCTGGAGTATATGGAGTAACTCCTACTGCTGATTGAGCTTTTTTCAAATCGCGACGCGTATTAACTGCTTGAGATGATGATAATTGAGTAGATTGCACAAGAAGATCTGATGCAGCTCTCTTTCCTTCATTATATAAAACAGTTTTTGTTGCAAATACTAATTGCTCGCATTGAATGGTGTTTAATATTTCTTCTACTTTTCTCTTTTTCGTTTTTAAACTACAATCATTTAAATCCTTTTTTGGACGACCGACATTACTTCTGCCTAAAATATTTTAATTGAAAAATGACGTAAAAATAATTTGTCTTCAAGATTAAAAGAAATTAATCTTTAAAAGTAAATTACTGGAAGTATTTGGTAAGATAAACTGTAACTGAAGCCAATTTTAATTTTTTTCTAAGAAATTGGTGCGTATTCCACGTACTCCAACAGCATTCCACCTTCTCGATATATTACTATAAAATGCAGTAATTTTTGTATCAATTTCTTTTCCAAACCACTCTTCTTCAATCCAATTGTTGCCCATTTTATCCCTTAAAAATTTGTAAAGACAAGCTGATGCCTCAGTTGTGTATTTCTTGCATGAAAAAGCGGAAATCTGAATTTCAGTGAACAAATCATGATTTGTAAGACTAATATTTAAATACGCGGAACCCATTATTCCTAAAATATAGATCAATTATGCAATATGTTATTTTTGTATCTTCGTTTTTGTAATTTAACGCATTTTTAAAAAATTTAATATAATTAAATGATAATTAAATTAATTATTTATTTAATTAACCTAAATTATCACGCAAAAATAGCAAATAAATGATATTTTAATCTGTCAAACATAAGATTCTGATAGTAAGATTCATTTTTTAAATATTAATGAATATAACCTTAACCATAATATAATTTTTAAAGTCAAATATAAGACAAAGTAAGCAAAAGTAATCAATAATTTTTTTTGTGCTTTAAGCTTATATGTTTAGTTGTCAGAAAATGTGAAAATAAAATTAATAAAGTTTAATAATTTTTATTTCTATACTTTTTTAATCGATGTATAATTTCCTTTGGCACGTACTTACCGCAATTGATGGTTTTAACTTTTATAAACTATAAAACAGGAAATTTACTATACAATATAGTTAACTTATACAATAAACTATAACGTTAAAAAAATTTCTAATTTTTTAAAAGTATTGCGTATTAAACACGTCTCAATCGTAAGCTGAGAATCAAGGGAATATCAAATACTCGTAGAAGCGCATTGTTTACACATGAATATAGCTAAAAAAAATAATTTTTGGGTTTCTAAACTTCAGGACTCTTCTAAAAACATACTTTAAATTATGTTCCTTATACATAAACATTAATTTATCAACTTTCATTTTTGGCATTTTGTCCACCTAGATTTGAAATCTATCCCACTGTGTGGCTGAGGAAAAGGTGAGAAAGAGGCTGAGTGCGATGAAGGTGGGAATGAAACTGGGTTCAGAGCATTTCCCGATTATTGTCCAGCTAAAAGGAAAAGTGGAAAGGAAAAAAGACGCGAGGAGAGAAAAGGAGGAAAGGGTAGAAAAAATGGGCAAGTAGAGGGTAGAAAAGTTGAGAGAATTCGAAAAAAGGATGCAGGAACAGTGGATAGAAAATGGTGAGGAGGCGAGGGTTAACGAAAGAGTTGAAAGCATCGTGCGAGCCGTACAAAGGGTGAAAGAGGGGATGCCGAAGGAAGAAGGAAAGGAGAACACAAGGAGGGGTTGGTGGGACAAGGAATGTGACACAAGTAAGGATGCGATGAAGGAAAACATTAAACTGTGGAGAAAAGGACATATAGACAGAAAAGAGTACAAGAGAAGGCAAGATGTGCACGAGAAGATAATAGAACGGAAAAAAGGAAATTTTTAGAAGAGGTGGAAGAGGCAGAGAGGAAAGGGAGGGAATTGGAAGTATTAAATAGAGAAAGAAAAAGAAAAGGAGGGATGGATAAGGGCATAAATATGGGACAGTGGACTAGGTATTTTAAGGAGCTCAGTGGGGAGTAGATGGTAGAGTGGTGGGAGAAAGGAGAATGGCGGCAGATGAAGCAGAGTGTGAGGAAATAAGCAGGGAGGAAGTGGACAATGCAATCAACAGGATGAAAAGGAATAAAGCAGCTGGTTTCGGCGGGATGGAAGCGGAGAGTTTAAAGTATTGGGGGAAGTAATTAGGAAAGAGATGTGGGCAGTAATTAATAAGGTGTGGAAGGGACAAGGGTAGCTAGAGAGATTGAAAACGGGAGTGATCGTACCGTTGGTTAAGAAAGGGGAAGGGAGAAAGGTAGAGGAATATAGAGGAATCACTCTGGATACAAGCTCTACACAGAGATCTTAAGGCGGAGGCTGGAAGCAGCCCGGTGACACTCTCTCTTTCACACAGTAAATATGTCGTTATCCTCCACTGCGTGGCGCCACGTATGCATCAGTCCGATGTTTATTTACCACGGCTATATTTCCTATAGTTCAACCGTTTTCTTTTAACTCTTTTAACGGACTTTGATGTTTTCTTTTCAAGCTTTTCGAAAAAAGTATGAAGAAATGTGATTAGAATATTCTTAAATTTTTGTTAAGTTAAGGAATTTTGTGCAATGGGGTGGAAATGTGTCGCTTTTGGTTGCAAGTCGGGTTACGACAGTAATCGTGAAATAGATAAAAAGGAAAACATAAGCATGTTCCGAGTTCCAAACAAACAAAAAATAATTAAACAATGGCAAATAGCAATCTTGAGGGATGACATCAAATTAAAGGCGGGTCATCATGTTTGTAGCAAACATTTTAAAGATGACGATATCATTCGCGAAAAGGTATTTAAAGACCGTGATGGAAATATTGTTGCAAGGGTAAGTATCTCAAGATTTGACTGTATATAATTGTTTTAATTTTATTTTAATATACGGAAATTTAAAATTGATTGTTTATAGATATTTATTTAAGTAATTATTCATTGTAAAAATTATTTATAACTAATTTGTAATTAAAAATGGTTAATTTTACAATTCAATAAGAAAAATTTTGCTGTTTAATTTAAATTCAAAAGTAATTTGAAATATATTAATTAGTTTAATTCAATTTATAACTGCAATTTAAATATTATACAAAAAAGTCTGTTATTGTATTTTAAAATATTATTTGTTTAAATAATTATTTTTAATTCAGAAAAATATTGTTTTGGTTAAATCAATTAAACAAGAAATATATTTAATAAGTTTGTTAGATTTTAAGTTTAAAAAATATACATGTAATTTAAAATCACCCAGAAAGATAAAGTTTGAATATAAAATAAAGGTAAACTAAGTTTTAAGTAAACATAGTATATTTCATCTAAAAAGATCTTTCTCTTGGTGTAATAAATTATGAAAATCGTTGTCTGTGTTTTATATAAATTTTGCTTGCGTTTTTATTATCGAATATCCGAAAAATGTATAATATAAAACATTTTAGAAAGATTTTAATTATTTATAGAAATATTCCTAATTATATTAATCGTTTTTTAGACTCCGTATCTAAAACCTCTACTGCGTGATGATGCTGTACCATCTTTGAATCTTGGCCGTCCTAAAAAACCGTCTCCAAAACCTCGAACATTATCTCTAAAAAGAAAAGAACAGGATGAAAAGAAAGAAATAGAGAATCCTAAGAAGAAATTAAAAGTCGAGAATATTACGGAAACTCTTAGCGATGATCCATCAAATAATGAAACTCGCCCAGATCGACGCAGAATTTTCAGCAAAGGACTTATTCGATAAAATTTTAAAAAATAAGACGCCCATTAATTTACCATTCACGTGGAGTAAAATAAATGTTATTTGGAGTAGCACGCAAGGAATAACATTTATCGATCGAATTGGAGTAAAATGCGAAAATGGTCATATTGATTCCGTTTCCACGAAAGAAGTAACATTAGACGAAAACATGACGCTTTTAATTAAAATTAATGGCAAAGTGTTTAACAACGCTGAACTTAATATTCAGGAGGAAGAACTACATTCCACAAAAGAATTAGAAACAGCAATACAAAATGTTCATGAACTTCAAGTATGCCGCGGATGTCCTAATATTAAAGTGACTGATGCTAATGCGAGAGACCTCAATTCTTTTGCTTATAAAGATACAATAAACATTGTTCGCCATAATAAGTGTTCAGTCATTTTAAAGAAGGAGGAAGAAAAAAAAAGGCACCAGTGTAATTGTTGCAATGTGGTAAAACAACGATTAAGTATGAAAAAAATTCGTAGGCAACATAGAAAGGAATCAAAATACTTTAAACAAAATGATTTAAGTCCTCGAAGGCAACAAAAATTTAAAAACGTGATGCAAAGACTAAATTCAGCCGACAGAGCTAAAGAGAGAGCTCAGGAAAATATTGAAACGTCCAAAAAACTAATTTATGGCTACAAACAACAAATAAAACAAATGTCGAAACAAAAGTTGGATGACTTAATTGCTGAAAGTGTAAAAATTAGCCCTAACGAAAAAACTGCCATTCAGGAAATTTTTAAAGCAGCTGCTACAAATGATCCAAAAGGGCGACGTTATTCTGATGAGTGGCTTATCCAGTCATTAATTTTACATTTGCCTTCTCCAGCTACATACAGGTTGATGCTTGAAAATAAAATGATGCCATTGCCTCAAGTTAGAACTATTCGAAGGTAAGATATATTTCAAATACGATGAAAGTCGATTGTAATAAAAATGTCTTAATTATAATTTCTATTTTGTAGATACTTTTCTAGAATGGAATGCCCCAGTGGTTTCGACCCTCGTTTTATGGAGGTTTTAGAAAACCATTTGTCAAAAAAAACTGAAATAGAACGTCATGGTATATTATTAATTGACGAAATGAGTACCCGGAAAAATTTGCTGTTGGACCGTAAGACGATGCAATTTAAAGGAGTAGAGGATTTTGGTGATAATATGCCGAAAGATTTGGACACAGAAATGGCCAATTATGGCCTTGTCTTAATGTTCCAACCCTTGTACGACACATATTCGCAACCGATTGCTGTTTTCGCATCGAATGGACCAACTTGTGGTGATACTTTGGCGAAATTAGTTGTGCAAGCAATAATTCTATTAGAAAAAGCTGGAGCTAAAGTTTGCGGAATTGTTTCGGATGGTGCATCTACAAATAGACGCATGTGGACAAATTTGGGATGCAGCGGAAAAATGGGCAAAGGAATATTTAAAAACTATTTTGAGAATCCGGCTGACGAAAATAGAAAAGTATTCTTATTCTCTGATGCACCTCATCTGATAAAAACAATCAGAAATCGTTTAGTGAATGGTGCGAAATTAAAGGTATGATATTTATCGAAAACGCAAACTTATATAATTTATATTTTTTGAATAATTTTAACACATTCATAATGTACTCTACATATATTTAATTGACAATCTTTTAATTAGATTCATCCAGGTGGCAATCCTATTGATTGGGATTATATTTTAATATTATATGACATAGATTTCAATTTAGTTATATTTTTAAGAATTATTTATATTTATTATTTATATTCTATATATTAGAACAATTTATTTTAATTATTTTATTTACATAAGTATTTAGCAAGTCTGTTGCTCGTGCTCTTAGGTTTTACGAGCCATATGAATCGAGGTTACAAAATTGCGAAGATACCGCTAATTTTTGCGAACGAATCAATAACATGTTTGATGCCTTAAATAGAGTCACTGAAGAGTCTGCCCTACGACTCGAATCTGATGATCTTCGGGTATGTATTTTAACTTTTAAAATATTTAATATATTTATTGTTCTATATTTATTCAATAACTTTAATTATGTTTATAGATATTGCAAGAGAGTCTCGAGTGGTTGGATGAGTGGCAAAAGCAAGTTGATGCAAATTTAATAAATCGCAATGAGTTTTTAACACCTGAAACTGCAGAAGGGCTGAGGATGACTCTGCAATCCACTTTGGACCTTTCAGCTTATTTCCTTGAAGAATTAAAACTAGAGTATGTTTTAAGCGGTCGAATCAATCAAGATCCTTTAGAGGTACTGAGGTTAATTTAAATAAATTTGAAACATTCGTTACTTTAAAATATATATATAAAGTCAGAAATGGTCATAATGTCAAATTTCTGTCCAATTTTATATAAGTAATGTAGAATATTATCAAAAAAGTTACAATTTTTTAGTATATTTAAAAATATATATTAATTATCGACTTAATTCAGATTACATTGTTAAAAATTAAATTAAATTAAAAATTAAATTGGTTAGAATTTTTTACTACTTATAAATAAGTGACTTTTTCTGACTTTATTTTGTGAAGGCTAATAGTAACTTTATTTAATTAATAGCTAATTTTAATCAATTTCTTCATTTATGATCCTTTAAAAGTTATTATTAAATTATTTATGTGTTTAAGTTAGAAAATCAGTAAATAATTGATTTTAATTAGAAAACATCGTATTCATAAATTATTGAAATCAATTATTTTTTCTGGTATCGATCTAGGAATTACAGCAACAAATTTGTCAGATAATAAAATATAACAGAATATAATATGTGTTTTGATTTATTTTTTATTTAGCGATTTTTCGGGACTGTTCGGCTTTCAGGAGGTTCCAATAATCATCCTGCAACTCCCACTTTTTGCAGATCTTTAAGATCCTAACTTTTTACAGTATTTTAACACCGCCACGTACAGGCAATTGCTCTATAAAAGATGATAAACGTGTGGTACCATTAATTCCATTAGAAAAATTAAAAGAAATATACAAAAGCAACAAGTCTTCTTGCATAGAAAAAATTCGAGAAAAATTGGATATTGTTATCGAGAACGAAGACAATGATTTCTCAGACTTCACAAACGCTGCAGATCATGATTATGATCTGCCTGAAGTTCTGGATTGTCTTATGTATTTCGTCACGGGTCAAATCTGTAAAAGTTTATCTAAATTTTTAAATTGCGAAATTTGTCGTTCTGCCCTTTTTTACTCTGACGAAGATGCTTCTAAAGTAAAAAATTATCCTTTGGCAAAGTTAATTACATTCAATGAAGACATGAAATTGCGACATCCTAATAAAAAATTATACGATTTGTTGATAAAAATTGAAGCATTATTTATCAAGCATTGCAACAAAAGCAATGTCTATGATCTAGTCGTTTGTGAATTTACACAAGATCAAATAAAATTTCCTTGTTTTACTCATGCCTGTGACGTACTTGCCTATATATTAGATTTCTATTTGAATAATAGAATGAGGACTTTTCGCGAAAATTAAAATGGTAAATGCTAAAAAACATAATTTGACAAAAAAGAAAGTTGCCAACTTGGTCTGCAGTTAAAAAAAGTTTTTTTTTAATAATTTATAATGATAATATATTTTTATAATATATATTTTTTATAATATATTATGACAATCTGTTGCTGAGTTTATAAGAATCAAAATTTATGCATTATATATATATATATATATATATATATATATATATAAACGTTTATTGAAAATTAATAAAATTTATTTTATTTATGAAATCATCTGCATATTTATTTTCAAAAACCTTACATCAAATTAAAAACCAAAATAAATACTTATATATATGATAAAATAGTTATATTAATATATTTCATATAACTATTTTTATTAAATCATTATAATACTATTATATTTATTTACAATAAATTTAATTAAAATTAAAAAATTTAACGAAAATATGAATATGTATAACGAAAGAATAATTCCTAAATCATTCATATACATTTATCTTTAAATTTTCGTTAAAATAAATATCCCATTTATGTACATGTACCTAGTTTAGCTAAAATTTAAAAAATATATTATCAAAAATGTGAAAAGTATTTAATAATGATTTATTTATTATTTTAGTCATTAATCTTAATGGAAAAAATATATATTTAATTAAGGTAATAAAATGGATTTTGGATAAAAGCGGACAGGGTGTGAATAGTTTTAAGTGTTTTTGTATTTTAGCTTTAAGAATATTGTATATGGATCCTCGAACCCAACAGTAGCAGGGAGAGTAAATAAATATTATATTCGAGCTTACTTCCTTATTATTCGGAGACTTTGTCTCCTCATGCTGCATAGCATGAACTTTCTTTAAAATCCTATAAACGTTCCGCTTCTGCTCTTCCACTTCCAGTTTTTCCATCTTCCTCCCATACTGATGTGGCTGTCACCAACGCCAAAAAACGAGATGAAAGGTAGACAGTAGGTATTAAGAGATTAAGAGATAGACAAAGAGAGAGATAGGGAGTGAGTTTTTCTCTTTCTATCTCAGAACAGTGAAGTCATCCGACAACAAGTTAGGGTTCGATCCCATGTGAGCAGAATACGTCGACCGAAAGCAGAAAATTATGAGAGTGAAAAGAACAACAATATCTACCTATCTCTTTTGCACTCATGATTTTCTGCTTTCGGTCGACGTATTCTGCTCTCATGGGATCGCACCCTTACGGTACTACATAAGTTATTATATCTTCGAACAAGTAAATAAAATATAAGTAAAAAATTTCGCAACAGCCTTACTTACAAAATATTAAAATTTAACATCTTTGAAAATATGTTTACAAGGAAATCAATTTTTTAAATCAAATATTTATTTAATACAAATTCTTTTACACCTTTATTTTAAAATTGTCAACGGATAAAAAAATTAAATTTAAACATGTATTTCTAAAGGAATATTTACCAAAAATTAGAGAAATTTGAAAACATGAAAATTTCAATAATGGTAAACAATGAAAGACAAAAAAAATGCAAAATATAACAGAGTTTAAAGAGTCTCAAATTTCATTCTTTAACTTTAACATTATTAACAGTAGAGAAATTTGAGAATGATTAAAAATCCGACATTCGACTTTTCTTATATTTCTAATCCTCTAATTGAAATACAAAATGAAGTTAAATCTGAAAAAACCAATTAATCGAAGAATGAATTATTGGATAATTAATTTAAATATGAGACAATTAAAGTTCAGTGTGAAAATTATTATAAAAAGGCGTCTAATCAAAGCACAATTTAAAGATACGTATAAATTTTGCAGTAACAATTCAGTATTCTTAAAACTTGCAACAACAAGTTTATATAACATATACAGAGTATAATAATATTTTAATAATTGTTAGTAACTTTGGTAGCTGACGATTTGCATAGCCAAAACATTAATTTTTTAATATTTATTAGATACTTTTGTTGGACACGTTGTGTTCTTAAGCTGGTTCAAAGTTATAGAAATTTTTTTATTATTCAAGCGTAAAATAGTATAACACTTTTTTGTCCAGATTATTATTTTTTGACGTATTTTTTATTGGAGCAATTTGTAAAAATTTGTGAAAATGATTTTTGAAGATTAATTGCTAGAAAAGTGTTTTACAAATGTACTTATTGAACAATGAGGGTGAGAATAACACGTTGAAAAGATAAATATGTGAGAAATTCCAACTGTTTTCAATTGAGAATATAGAAGTGGCTTTTATTTAAGTACAATTTTTTGAACAAGTCTTTTATTATTTTCGATGATATTTTATTAATAAACGTCGTGAAACTTTTTTTTATATTTATTCATCAGGGTTACCACGCTTTTCCTCATTTCAAATTCCCTGACTTTTCCAGGTTTTCCAGGTTAAAAAACAGAATTTTTCCAGGTTTTTAAAACTACATTTATATATTTATAAAAAATATAAATTTTATTATTTTTAAATTTTAAATATTATTTTTATTATTTTTAAATTAATTTATTTTTAAATTTTATTATTTTAATTTTAATTTTTAATTTTACCAAACTCCCTAATTTCCAGACAAAACGATTTTTTTCCTGTTCTATTACATTTATTTACAAATTTCTTTAATTGTAAAATTATTCGAAAACATCAATAACTTCGTTTTTAAATGAATTTTTAATCATTATTATTTTTTTACAGAAATTAAGATTTTCAAAAATCTTAAATTTAATAAAATATAAGAATATTATTATAAAACATGAAGATATCGATCACTCCGAGTCTTCAACTCGGAGTAATCGCTTTCTTCATGTTTTATAATAATCATTAAAACTTGATACTATCATTATTTTATATAATAAAAATATTGTTACTGTAATTTCTTCAAAATTATTTTAATTTCAATTCAATTCTTCATTTCTAGAATTTTTAATTAAAATTCTTCTTGAACTCAATTTTTTTTATAATTTTTAAATAAGTTCTTCTTTAGGAATTTTTAAATCCATTTGTTTACAATTCAATTTTACCTAAAATAATTCGATTATTCTGACATTCTTCAATGCAAAAAATTAGAAATTAAAAACTTCAAATAATTAAAAAAAAATTCCATTAAACTTTTTAAGAAAAATTAATACTAAATTTCCTTAAAAATCTTGTCAAGAATTTAATTATTTTTATAGATAATAAAATTATTCGCAGGAATTCAGTTATTCTCAAAAATTTGAATAACATTCTTAAAAAAAATTCAATTATTTTTAAAATTGACAAAATTCTTCGCAAGAATTCAATTATTTTCAAAATTGATAAAATTCGCAGCATGATTTCAATTATTTTCAAAATTGATAAAATTCTTGGTATAAATATTCAATTATTTTCAATATTAATTTTTACGTAATTTCGATTATTCTGACATTCTTCAATTAAATATATATTAGAAAATAAAAACTTGAAGAATTAAAGAAAAATTCAATTAAACTTTTTTAAAACAATTAATTCTACAGAATTGTTAAATTGTTAGTTAAAAGTATGAAAAGTTCAAATTTTCCAAGATTTTAATTTGAATATTCAATAATAATCTAAAATTTTAACTGAAATTCATTTTTTAATCAATATTTACTAGAAAAACCCACGAGAATTTAATAATTGAAATACAAAAATAAATATTTTATTAAATAATTGAATGTTTCTTGAAATTGAATTTTCATAAAGAATTTTATAAACAAATTTTTTAATAATTAAATTCTCTTGACAAATTTTAATAAAAAATTTTAAGAATAAGTTCATTTTTCGGAAATTTGATTAAAATTTTAATTAAAAATAATTGAATTTCTCCTAATAATTTTTGAAAATAATAATTGAAATTTTCTAAAGAATTTTATTAAAATTTTAGAAAATAATTAAATTTTGGAGAAAAATTCATATAGATTATTGAAATTTTGACGAGAATTTTTGTAAATTGTTGAACACAATTAAATTTCTGCGAAGAATTATATTAATTTTTAAAAATAATTGAATTCTTGAGACGAATTTTATTAAAATGTCTTTTTAAATAATTGAATTCTATTATGAAATTTTATTGAAATAGTAGACATTGAAAATAATTTAATTTTGACAGATTTTTGAAATTATTAAAATTTCAACAAAGAATTTTATTAAAATTATTTTGAAAAAAAATTGAATTACATATTACAAAGAATTTCATTAAAATTTATTAAAATAATTTAATTTTTTGAATAAATTTAATTAAAACTTTATAGAAAATAATACTTAAATTCTAATAAATAAATTGTAGCAAAAGTTTTTAAAATAATTGAATTTCTTTGAGGATTTTTAATAAAATTTTTAAGAATAATTTCATTTTTCGAGGAATTCCATTAAAATTGTATTAAAAAAATTAAAAGTCTGCGATGAGTTTTATTATTTATGAAAATAATGAAATTTTAACGAAAAATTCTATTATTTTTTTTAAAATAATTAAATTCTTTTGGAAAATTTTATTAAAGTAGTAGATTTATTAAAAATCATTGAATTGATAAAAGTTTTTGAAAATAATTGAAATTTTGCCATGAATTTTATTCATATTTTTGGAAATAATTGAATTTCTCAGAAGAATTTTACTACTTTTGAAAATAATTGAAATTCTGCAATCATTTGTAATTGCTTCAAAATTCACTTTCTTTTAGTGTTTTTAATTAAAATTCTTCTATAAATCCATTATTTTTAATAATCAATTGAAAATATGTATATATTAAAAAATTAAACTAATTTCAGAAGAATTGGAATAATTAAAATTTCTTAAAAATCGACGTTCTTTAAGACGATTTCTAATTAAATTCATTCAAAATTTCAAATTAAAATCTTTTGAAATTCATCTGTACTTATATCTGTAAATTGTAAACGCAACTTTTTTTAAAATTGAATTAATTTTGAAATATTTATGGAAGATTAGATTTCAAGAATAAACTTTAGAAAATAACAATTTTCCAGGATTTCTATCAAAATTCCCTGACTTTTCCAGGTTTTTTCAAGGTTTATAAAATTCCCTGACATTTACAGGTTTTCCAGGTTTCCAGGTTGCGTGGCAACCCTGTTCATAAATAGATTAAAGTGTTAACTTTTAATTATTAAACGAATGTATTGAAAAATAATTGTTAAAACTATTTTATCAGGGCTCGAACCGACTTTCACGGACATGAAGCAAATTTACGGACCTAGTTCGAGCCCTGATTGAATTGAAATTTTTTTACTTCAACTTACAGAATCAACAATCTGTAATAAACAAATATTAAAAAATACAATAGTAGAACTAAATTCATCAAACTATTCGGCACATATTCTCATTTTTTGTTATGTTGCTTTTAAAGCTAATTTGTGTTTTTAAATGCTTTGCAAATCGCAGCCATCACTGTTAGAAATATAATTCGATACAAATTTCATTTCAAAAGAAATGAAGATATATTTAAAATTTGAGTCATTATGCTTCAAGATAAAGTTTCTGTTTCTACTCTTAAATTAATTATTTTTAATAGTAGAAAAGTTTCCTAAAAAACTTTAAGCAAAACATTGTAGTTTTTAAGAATATTTTTAAAAAATTAATACTTTAAGTTTATTAATTTTAAAACAAAATTTTTTAAAATTTTAATGCAGGGTGAATAAAATGAGAAACTTGACATCTCAATCTTATATGGAATTTCTCATATACTCTTAAGAAAACGTTATGTCAGTCACTGTTATAACTTTTCCTGATCTGATTATATATATATACATGTACTTGCAGTCCTCAATTTATATTCTGAAATTATTTCTACTATTTTAAACTTATAAAAAATCGACATTATTTCACAGTTGTACAAAAAATACCAGGTTTTCTACAAACCGCTTAAAAGAATCATTAATTTTAAATAATTCGCGAATATTAGAAGCGAATTCGACGTCTCACAAAAGTTGGGACAAGAGATTTTTCATAACTTATTTTATTAAAGAATTTTTCAATTTAATTAAAAGTATAAAAAGTATACTTATTAAAAGACATATGTGACTGTCCACGAGAAAACAAGGCTTAGCTCCCAAACGTGAATTTCACAGGGCGAGCGATTGAAGTACTACGATTGAAGTTAACTACGCTTGACATACCCATCTTTAAAACGATATATTGTCGAAAGTAATTGATATTTTTAACTTCTGACTTTTGCATTTGAAAAAGCAACATAAAATCTGTCGATTACCATAAAAAACTCAAATTGATTTTTTCGACCTAAGCCGTGTTTTATCGTGGAGAGTCAACGATTGAGGTTAACTACGCTTAACATACCCATCTTTAAAACGATATATTGTCGAAAGTAATTGATATTTTTAACTTTTGACTTTTGCATTTGAAAAAGCAACATAAAATCTGTCGATTACCATAAAAAAATCAAAATTGATTTTTTGGACCTAAGCCTTGTTTTCTCGTGGACAGTCACATATTATATATATTTGAATTACAATCAAACTGATAAAAAAATTCTTTCATGTGAAATATATTTTAAGTTCTATTTGTAGATATTGTAGAGAAAAAAATTGACAACGGAGTTATATAAAAGCTTCTAAAAATTGTGTAAATAAATTGAATTAAAATTTAATAAATGTATCTCTAGTCCCATTCACATTTTCATATCAATTTTCATTTGCACAATACCAGTTATTTTATCATAAAGAGCTGTCCAACCTGACGTTATTTTTCATAATTTTCTGCCCGATAAAATACTTAAAAATTATTTGAGTCTTATTACTTATTATCAAATAAAATTTCGCTTCTGATTTTCGGTTGTAAAATAAATCTATTATTATTATTAAATTATTTAATGAAATTTTTATATAAATGTAAGTGAATGTTTTGAAATTTTTCAAACATTTATTGCAACGATTTTATTATATTAAAATTAAAATAGTAAAAATAAAGGTAATTTCTACACTTTCAATTCCCCGAAGTATTGAAAAAATACACTATTACGATGAATGTTTCATTTCTTGAGTTTAAATATTATGTACACCTTATTTTAGATTAGAATTCGTAAAATTCGGTAATTTTTAAAATTTGCAAGGCCTCTAAAAGTTGGACAGCTCTTAATTAGATGAATGTAGATAGTTCGATGATTATATTGATTTGACAAATATAAAACTGTAATCAGAATGGTGCGATGATCGCTGCCGCTTCTCCTCGACTAGTTGGAAGAGATGCGCATTCGTGCCATGTATCGGAATTTGGATCGTAACATTCAACGGTAGAAATGGTGATTTGCGTTCTGTAAAAATTAATTTCTTGTGACTGATCGCCGCCTATTACATAAAGTCGACCATCAGCCGCTGCTACGGCAGGATATGACCTGCCAACTTTCATTGGAGCGACCGTTGTCCATTCGTTCTGTAAAATTTACCATTTTATGTATCAAAATATACCAGGCTTCGCATTCGATAATTCATTTTTAAAAAGTTGCTCTAAGACTGAAGAAAGTAGTAAAAAAATAGCTATTGAAAAATTTGACGACTACAAAACTTGTTTTTTCCTCAATTTTCATAAAATAAAAAATATTTATTCTTTTTCTTATCCTACTAATAACTTCAGTTCTAAATTTTTGCAAAATTTTTGACTCAACAATTTATTAAAATTCAGTGACAAGAAAAAAGAAAATCAACTATTGGTATATGTTGTGGACATCCTTCTCAAGGTGTCCCATGAGTTGGACAAGGAACAAAATTTTTTTATTTGAGTTGTAGTCATTAAAAGTCTTCTTCTTCTTCTTCTTAAATGACTTGAGGCATAGCCAACTGTCAGAACATAATTAAAAGTCAAACTATATCATTTTATAATGTTTCGTAAAAATTTTTTTCATTTTTTTTGTAGATAGTAATTTTTTGTAGATTTATTAAAATCTATTTTAAAACTTTAATAAAAGTTGCATTTGATGTAATTGAATTGCTTTAAATATTTTATTATTTATAAATTGTTTTAATTGTTTGAAATTGTTTAAATTAAAAAAGATTTTTAGTGAAAATTTCACGGAGAATAATCTATATACTTATTTATTTTTCTACCATTCTATTTCATGTTTTGCAAATTGTTTATAACATTCTTAAGCATTGCAAAATAATTTTGAATTCAGTTTTTTACTTTTAGTATCCATTTTTACCCTCCCAAAAAAAAGAATTGATGAAAATAAATTTTTTGCTTCCACTTTGGCCCGTAGTTTTCAAATTGTTTATAATATTGCTAAATAACATCAAATTGTAATTTTTTTAGCCCACCGTCTGTGAAAATGATAAGTAAAATGTAAAAGGGAAAAACGGACTTCTCGGACGAAATTGGTTAAAAACGATAATGAAAAAAGAAAGATTAAATTTTTTGAAATTATGCTGTACCTTTTTAAAAGAATATCGCTCGACAGAGGTAAGTACCTCGTGATTTTTGTTAGTACCACCAACGACGTAGATGTAACCATCAAGAACGGTAATTCCCATTTGTGAACGTGGTGTTAGTAATGGAGCTAAATATTTCCATTTTTTATTAACCGGATTATAGCTCATAACTTCTTGATGATGTCGACTAACATGAGTACATCCACCGACAACATAAATAAGTCCTGTAGAAAATCATAGTTTAAAAATAAATCCAGTATTTAATTATAAGAGCTTTATTATTCAAGAACTAGAATTTTACCTTCATACGCAACGACACCCATGCTAAATCTGGGTTCTGGAAGTTCTCCATCTAACGTCCAAGTATTGGATATCGGATCGTAAATTTCAATTGAACGCCCAATATCTTCTCCAACCCAACCGCCAAATGCGTATAAACTATTATCCAAGGCACATAATCCAAAATCACATCTGGGCTCTTCCATACATGCAATTGAGGTCCAAACATCGTCACGGGGATTGTAACATTCTCCGTTTGCGATTATACAAGATTCCAATTCACCTCCAACAACATAAACCTTACCATCTAATAAAGCAACACCTGGTAGAATTCTACCTATTCCAATCGGCGCCACCTCGCTCCACTCTCTAAAATAATACAATACTGTTTATTATCCAATCCCCAAGCAGTTGAAACTTCTAGTGTATTAAAAATATCAGACCCAAAATAGCAACCAGGATTTGAAAAGTTAATAATTTTTTTTCAAAATCATAATTCCTGATTATATCTCACCCGGTAAATGTATCATATTTGTCAATGGTTTCGTAAGTACTTTCGGCAGCACGAGCCCAACTGTCGGGACAGTGTTCCCTCTTCGAACCACCGATAACCAAGATGTTTTTCTTAGCACAGATTCTCGGTTGAGCGTGCAATGGTACAAGGCAGCCTTTGTTGGAAATTAAGTCTTTCTGAATTGATCGCAATGCTACTATCAGACTAGCATCTTTGCAATCAAGTATCGTTTGCTCCAGGCGAGCCAAAGAGCAAAGTCGCAGCCTTATGTGACCTAAGATTTCAAAAACATAACATCTCCTAGCAGATATATCCTGCGTAATCCAGTTATACGCTGCTTGGAAGACCTGAAACAAGTTCATCATCATTTCACAATTAATGTTTACTCAATTTTTTAAGATTCAATCACTTGTTCTTGTTATCAAGAAAAAACTATCTTTTAGAGACATTGAACTATTTTTCAACTTTGTAACGAGATTGATATATGAGTGTCAGAATGGGTGCAGGGCTCGGATCGACTTTAAGACTCAAAAAAAGTCGCTTTAGTCGCATAAATTCACAACAAAAGTCACGCAAAATCGCATAAAATTTGCAAAAAAGTCGAAAAAAAGTCGCTTGGAATTTTAGAAAAAACGACAAAAAAGAAACACGAAATTGTCAAAATTGTACAAAATCACATTTCTCGACAACACATATGTACTTTAATATCAAACAATCCGGAATAAAATTTAATAAAATTCGAAGCAAAATTTTAACTGAGGCTCCGGATCTTAAAAGGGCACTTTTAGCATTGATTTTAAATGGTAAAAGTGCCCTTTTAAAATCCGGAGCCTCAATTAGGTATTTTTAACATTTTTTTTTAAAATTCTCTTTAAAATTTAAAATATTTTTATAAATAATAAAATTCTTCTCCTAAATTTAATTATTTAAAAAAAATTTAATAAAATTCTTGTCAAAATTTCAATTATCTTTATAAATAATAAACTTCTTCTCTGAAATTCAATTATTTTCATAGGTAATAAAATTCTTCGCAGAAATTCAATTATGTTCAAAAATTTTATTTAAAACTGGCAAAATTTTATAAATAATAAAATTCATTATGGAAATTTAATTATTTTCAAAAGTTCTGATAAAATTCTAACACAAAATTCAATTATCTTCAAAAGTACGAAAATTCTTCGCTAAAATTCAATTATTTTCAAAAAATTATTTTAAATTCTCCTCACAATTTCAATTATTTTTATAAATATCAAAATTCTTCTGCAAAATTCAATTACTTTTAAACATTTTTAAAGAAATCTGTTCAAAATTTTAATTATTTTTATAAATATTAAATTCTTCTCTGAAATTTAATTATTTGTAAAAATAATAATAAAATTCTTGAAATTCTTGAAATATCTTCAATGATTTTTTTCAAGAATTAAATTACATTTCACAAATAATGAAATTCTTCGCTAAAATTCAAATATTTTCAAAATCTACTATTTTTAGTAAAAGTTCTCAAAAGAATTCAATTGTTTAAAAAAAAATAATAAAATTCGTTGCAGGGATTCAATTATTTTCATAAATAATAAGATTCTTTACATTATTTCAATTATTTAAAAAAAAATTTGAAAAAATTCATTGCAAGAATTCAATTACTTTTATAAATTAATAAAATTCTTCACAGGATTTCAATTATTTTTAATACAATTTTATAATTGCTTTTAATATTCAATTATTATCTAAAATTTTAATTGATATTCATTTTTAAATAAATTTTTATTGGAAAATTCTACGAGAATTCAATTATTTAAATACAAAAATAAAATAATTTATTGAATAAATTAATGTTTCTCGAAATTGAATTATCATAAAGAATATTAACAAAGAATTTGAATTTTTTTGAGGAATTTTAATAAAATTTTCAAAAATAATTAAATTTTTCGAGGATTTCAATTAAAATTGTATCAAAAATAATTGAAATTCTATGATGAGTTTTATTAATTATGAAAATAATTGAATTTTTGTAAAAAAAATGTTATTATTTATGAAAATAATTGAATTATTGCAAAGTTTGCTTAAAATTTTATCAACCTTTTTTTTTAATAATTGAATTCTTTTGAAAAATTTTATTGAAATATTAGATATTGAAAATCTTTGAATTGAGAAAAATTTTTTGAAAATAATTGAAATTTTCAGAGAATTTTATTAAAATTTTTGAAAATAATTGAAATTTAGAGAAGAATTTTATTATTTTTAAAAATAATTGAATTTTGATGAGAATTTTTTTTTAATTTTTGAACATAATTGAATATCTGCGAAGAATTTTATTACTTTTGAAAATAATTGAATTTCTATCATTTGTAACTTCTCCAAAATTCAATTTTTTCCAGTATTTTAATAAAAATCCCTGATTTCCCTGATCAATTTTATTTTCCCTGACTTTTCCTTGAATTCCCTGAATTCCCCGATTTTCCTGACCTGTGGCAACCCTGTTAATTTGAATCCCGCTTTTGAAAAATAAAATCCTCTTTTTTACCTAATATAATATTCGCATGCATTTCGCTTTTGTTATATATTTGAGTATACACACCTGAAATTCGGTATCGATGTGAATATATTCGCTACTAAGGAATCGAACGAGGTATTCCTTTGGCAGGTCCAAAAATTCTTCCTCTTGTGACACTCGAGGAAAATTGACTTGAATAAAGCGTAAGGCAGTCTCCAAAAGATTTGAACTATTGTGTGCTTCGGCAAATCTGAAAAAGAACGTGTTTAATCACTTTTAGCAAAATTAAATACATATTAAATAACTTTTAATTATTAATTTCCTTATTTAACTTTTTATTTCTTTAAATAAGTAATTTAATTCTTATATTAAATTACATTTAAAAAAAGAATAATTTTTTTCACAAAAATATTTAAATACCTATTTTTTCCACAGGAAGTAAAATATTTTAAATGATTTCAATGTAAAACCTTTTTGAAATTTAACTATTTCTAAAAATTACAGCTGTATTTCTATTCTTCTAAAATTAAATCATATTTTTCATTGAAATTCTTAAAAAAAATTTAATTATTATTTAACACTTTAATCATTTTTTAGGAAAATAGTAAATTAATAATTTTCCCAAATATTATTAGTTTTACAACAATTATAATTTTTAAATATTTCAATTTAAAAATCTTTTGATATTAAATTATCTAATATTTTAACTGAAATTCAATTTGAAAAGTATTTTAGGGGAAATAGGGGACTGAAAATTAAAAAATAGGGGACTTTTAAGGGACCATAAAAATTGGTTAAATAAAGATAAAAATATAATTTATTTATACAGGGTTGCCACAAAAATTTAACTTCATTTTTCCCTGATTTCCAAACACAACTTTCACTTTTTCCCCGACCCTAAAGAATATTCTGGATTCACTCTAAAAATTATTAGATACTCAAAAAAATATTCTATTAAATTTATTTACAAATTTCATCAAAAGTAAAATTATTCGAAAACATTAATAGTTTTTATTTAAAATAAATATTTAATCATTTTTTTTTTCATTGGAATTAAGGTGTTAAAAAATTTCAAATTCAAACTTTTTCAAATTGAACAACTCATAAGAATATTATTATAAAATATAAAGATGACCGACTGATAAAATCATTATTTTATTATTATAAGAATATTGTTACTGTAATTTCTTCAAAATTATTTCTATCATTTCAATTCAATTAACATTTTCTAGAATTATTAACTAAAATTCTCCTTTAAATCAATAATATCAATTACTATTCAATTAAACTTTTTTAAAAAAAAATTAATTCTACAGAATTGTTAGTTAAAAATACGAAAAATAATAATTTAATTCTACGAGAAATCAATTATTTAAATAAAAAAATAAATAGTATTGAATGTTTCTTAAAATTTAATTTTTACGAAGAATTGTATTAACAACTTTTGAAAATATTTAATTTCTTTTAAGGAATTTAATTAAAATTTTAATGAAATTTATTATATTAAAGAATTTTATAACAATTTTTGAAAATAATTGAAAAGTTTTTGAAGAATTTTATTAAAATTTTTTTAAATAATTTAATTAATAAGAAAAATGTAAATTGAAAACAATTGATTTTCTGCGACGAATTAAATGTTATTTATGAAAATATTTGAATTATTGCAACGAATTTCATTGTTTTATTGAATAATTGAATGTTTCTTAAAATTGAATTCTTTTCTCAAGTTTTAATAAAATTTTTAATAATAATTGCATTTTTCAAGGAATTTATTTAAAATTGTTTTAAAAATATTTGAAATTTTGCGATGAAAATAATTAAATTCGTAAATGAAATTTTATTATTTATGAAAATAATTGAATCTTTTCGCAGAATTGTATAAAAAGTTTTTTCTATAATTAAATCTGTTGACAAATTTTATGAAAATAGTTAATATTGAAATTCGTTGAATTACGATAAACTTTTGAAAATAATTGAAATTTGGCAAAGAATTTTATTTCAATTTTTGAAAATAATTAAATTTTTGGCGAAAAATTTTGCTATTTACAAAAATAATTGAATTCTTAACGAGATATTAATTAAAATTTATAAAAATAATTGAATTCGTGCAAAGTATTTTATTACATTTTGTTTAAATAATTAAAATTTTGCCAAGAATTTAATTAAAATTTTTGACAATAATTGAATTCTTGAGAAGAATTTTGATATTTATCAAAATAATTGAATTTTGGAAAAGAATTTTATTAAGAATCCTTAAAATAATTGATTTTATGGGAAGAATTTTGTTGGTTATCAAGATAATTAAATTCTATTGCAGAATTATTGAAAAATTATTGAAAATAATTAATTTCCTGCGACGAATTAAAAAATATTTATGAAAATAATTTTCAAAACAAAAGTTTCCAATTGAAAGTTTCAACGGCACTTTGCTAAATTTGGTGTGAATTCATCATTAAAAGATTAAAGAAAAAAAATAGGGGAAATTTAGTGGAAATTTTGAAAATTGGGTACGTTTAGGGGCCAAAATTAAAAAAAGGGAACTTTTAGGGAAATAGGGGACAGACTCTGAAGCCTTCAATTACTTTCACTAAGAATGACATTTTTCATGGAAATTCAATTTAAAAAAAATGTTTGTTAAAATTCAAAGCAAGAATTCAATTATTTTCAGAATTCAAGATTCACACAAGAATTCAATTTTTTAAAAATAAAATTTTCATAATATTTATTATACATATTTCGAAAAAATTAATTATTTAAAACAATGTTTATAAAATTCTTATAAAGAATTCAATTATTTAAAAAAACAAAATTTTTCACAGAAATTCTATTCTTTTTAAATATTTTAATAATATTTTTTGAAATAGTTCAATATTATTTTCGTAAATAATAAAAATATTAGCAACTAATTATTTAAAACAATGTTTTTTAAACTTCTTTGGAAGAATTCAATTTTATTTACAAAAATTTTAGCATTTTTCGCAGGAATTCAATTATTTTCAAATATTTAAATAAATTTTTTTTGAATTAAATAATTAAATTATTCTTTTAGATTTTAATAAAATTTTTCACAAGAATTCAATTATTTACATCAATAATTCTTCGAAATGAGTCAATTATTAAAGATAAATAACAAAATTATTCCCGAAAATTCACTTATTTTGAGGCATTTTAATAAAATTCTTTGCAAACATTCAATTATTTTCATAAATAACAGTATTCATCACAAGAATTCAATTATTCTTAAAAGTAATAAATTTCTTCTTGGAAATTCAATTATTTTAAAACATTCTAATAAAATCGTTCGCAAGAATTCAATTATTTTCATGAATAATAAAATTTTTCGTAGGATTTCAATTATTTTTAATAAAATTTTTAATGAATTCTTCGAAAAATGTAATTATTTTAAAAAATTTTTTGCAAGAATTCAATTATACTTCACAAATAATCCAATTTATTAAATTTTTTAAAAATAATTGAATTCCTGAGAAGAATTTAAATAATAATTTTTGAAAACAATTGAACTCATAAGAAGAATTTTATTAAAATTTTTGAAAATAATTGACTTCTTGAAAAAGAATTTTTAAAAAATTTTTGACAATAATTTAATTCTTGAGAAGAATTTTCCTATCTATTTATAAAGATAATTTAATTCTTGACGAGAATTTTTAAAAAATTTTAAAAATAATTTAATTTTTGCAAAGTATTTAATTACTTTTCAAAAAAATTTAATTCTTGGAATTTTGATATTTATCAAAATAATTGAAATAATAATAATATAATATATAATATATAATAATAATATATATATATATATATATATATATATATATATATATATATATATATTATAATTTATCAAGTTTATTGAATTCTTTTGCAAAATTACTTAAAAATTTTTGAAAATAATTGATTTTCTGCGACGAATTAAATGTTATTTATATATGAAAATATTTGAATTATTGCAACGAATTTTATTGTTTTATTGAATAATTGAATTTTTTTAAAAATTGAAATCTTTCCTCAAGTTTCAATAAAATTTTTAATAATAATTGCATTTTTCAAGGAATTTTTTTAAAATTGTATTACAAATATTTGAAATTCTGCGATGAAAATAATTGAATTCGCAAATGAAATTTTATTATTTATATGAAAATAATAGAATTTTTTTGTAGAATTGTATCAAAAAGTTTTTTCTATAATTAAATGTGTTGATACATTTTATAGAAATAGTAGATATTGAATATTATTGAATTGCAAAAAACTTTTGAAAGTAATATTGAACTTTTGTAAAGATTTTTATAAATTTTTGAAAATAATTGAATTTTCGTCGAAAAATTTTGCTATATATAAAGATAATTGAATTCTTGACGAGATATTCGTGAAAATTTTTTTAAAAAATTGAATTTCTTAGAAGAATTTCATTACTTTTGAAAATAATTGAATTCTTGGGATGAATATTTTAACTTATGAAAATAATTGAATTTTGTAAAGAATTTTATTAAAATTCCTAAAAATTATTGAATTTCTGTGAAGAATTTTGTTATTTATCAAGATAATTGCATTAAAACTTTTGTAATAATTAAATAATATTAAAAAATTCATTCTTGTGAGAAATAGAAAATTTTTTTGAAGGTTTTGTATTAGAATTAGTGTCAGTTCAATAGTTTACAAAGCTAAATTTGGTGTGAATTCATGATTAAAAGATAAAAGAAAAAAATAGGGGGAATTTTGAAAATAGGGTACGTTTAGGGGCCAAAATTAAAAAAAAAGGGGACTTTTAGGGAAATAGGGGACAGACTGTGAAGCCTGTGCTTTTTGTTTTGAAGGAAATAAAAAATACCTGTAAATTCCAAGGGCATTAGAACAATGGAGTTGTTGTTCGAGGTAAGCGGTACATCCAGAAACAACTTCCTCTAATTCTAACATATCAGCAGCGGCGAAAAGCTCCTGAACATTGTCCTGAGTAATATCGATATTTCCAGTGTAAATGAAGTCGACGAGCATTGAGAGTATTTTTGATGAAACTGAATGAATTTCGACAGAATCTTGTTGTCCCTCAACCAATCCACTGGTGAACATTGCGTTAAAATAAGCACTGCCTGCCGCCAGAACTAATTTGTGAGCTCGAATCACACAATCTCCAGCGACAAGACACACATCAGTGAATTGGTTTTTCAATCTTTGAGCTTGTAAATTCCTTAAGATTTTCGGAGCGTATTGGCCCATTGTTTGTACCGTGTTCGACACTTCGGGGGTGTGATTAACGTTGCTATTTTGGTTCGCATATCCTGCGGTTTTCGAATTATTGCCATTTTTTAAAGAAGGAACTGCACCATCAGCCATGAAACCATCGAGTTGACCTTTGTCCACGGCTCCTGGAAATTAAACATTTTTTAATCAAATATATTTACTGCTCTAAAATCATTAATATATTTATGTATTACTTAATCAGGATTGACTTTTCCTTCATTTCCAGACTTTTTCCCTGACCCTACAGAATATTCTGATTCACTCTAAAAATTATTAGATACCCAAGAATTTCTTCTATTACATTTATTCACGATTTTTTTAATTGTAAGATTATTCGAAAACACAGGGTTGCCACAAATATTTAATTTTATTTTTCCCTGATTTACAGACAAAATTCTCACTTTTTCCCTGACCCTAAAAAATATTCTGATTCACTCTAAAAATTATTAGAAACTGAAAAAATGTTCTATTACATTTATTTACAAATTTCATTAATTGTAAAATTATTCGAAAACATGAATAATTTCTTTTTTAAATAAATATTTAATCATTATTATTTTTCCATAGGAATTAAAATTCTACAATATACATTCAAATTCAAACCTTTTTGAAATTCAACAATTTATATAAGAATATTATTACAAAACATAAAGAAGGCGATCACTCCGAGTCCAAGACTCGGAGTGATCGCCTTCTTCATGTTTTGTTATAATTTAAATTACCATAAAATTGTTCAAAAAAAATTTTATTATTTACAAAAATCCTAATAAATTTCTTCGCAAGAATTCAATTATTTTTAAAAAGTAGTAAATTTTCTCAAAAAAATTCAATTATTTGAAAAAATTGTAATAAAATTCGTTGCAATAATTAAATTATTTTCATAAATAATAAATCGATTATTCGGTAATTCATTATTTAATCAATTTTTATTAGAAAATTCTAGAAGAATTCAATTATTTAAATTAAAAAATAAATAATTTATTGAATAATTGAATGTTTGTTAAAATTGAATTCTCCTAAAGAATTTTATCAACAAATTTTTAAATAATTCAATTATTTTGACAAATTTTAATGAAATTTTTAAGAATAATTACATTTATCGAGGAATTTGATTAAAATATTGTATCAAAAATTAATTAAAATCCTGCGATAAGTTTTATTATTTATGAAAATAATTAAAACTTTTCCCAAAAGTTTTATTAAAATTTTTCTAAAATAATTGAATTTCAGTGAAGAATTTTATTATTTATAAAAATAATTGAATCCTTGAAAAGAACTTTGTTAAATTTTTTTTAAATAATTGAATTCATGCGACGAATTTTATAAAAATCTTTTTAAATAATTGATTTTTTTCGAAAAATTTTTTGAAATTTTATATTTTAAATAATTCAACTCATATAAAAATTTTATTATTTATGAAAATAATTGATTTATTTCGAAGAAATTAATTAAAAATCTTGTAAATTATTGAATTCCTGTAAAATTTTAACAAGAATTTTATTCAAGTTTTTAAAAATAATTGAATTTTGAAGAAGAATTTTATTAATTATAACAGTAATTGAAATTTTGACGAGAGTTTAAAAAAAATTTTTTAAAATAATTGAATATTAAAGAATTTTATTATTTATAAAGATAATTGAAATTTTGAAAAGAATTTTTTTAAAATTTTTGAACATAATTGAATTTCTGCAAAGAATTTTATTCCTTTTGAAAATAATTTAATTCTTCCAACGAATTTTATTCAACTTTTTAAAAATAATTGAATTTCGGTGAAGAATTTTACTATTTCTAAAAATAATTGAATTCTTGAAAAGAACTTTGTTAAATTTTTTTTTTAATAATTGAATTCCTGCGACGAATTTTATAAAATTCTTTTTAAATAATTGATATTTTTCGAAAATTTTTTTGAAATTTTTTATATTAAATAATTGAATTCTAGTGAAAATTTTATTATTTATGAAAATAATTGAATTATTTCGAAGAAATTTATTTAAAATTTTGTAAATAATTGAATTTCTGTGAAATTTTGCCAAGAATTTTATTAAAATTTTTAAAAATAATTGAATTTTGAAGAAGAATTTTATTAATTATAACAATAATTAAAATTTTGCCTAGAATTTTATTAAAGTTTTTAAAAATAATTGAATTTCGTAGAAGAAATGTATTATTTAAAAAGATAATTGAAATTTTGACGAGAATTTTTTTTAAATTTTTTAACATAATTGAATTTCGGAGAAGAATTTTATTATTTTTAAAGATATAATTGAAATGACCAGAATTTTTTTTAATTTTTGAATATAATTGAATTTCTGCGAAAAATTTTATTACTTTTGAAAATAATTAAATTTCTGGAATTATTTGTAACTTTTCCAAAATTCAATTTTTTTTAGTATTTTTAACTAAAATTCTTTTATCAATCTAGTATTTATGAAAATTAAGTTATTTAAAAAGAAATTATTGTCTGAAATAGAAAAAATTCAAGGTTTTGTATTAAAATTCGTGGTAATTTCATAGTTTACGAGGCAAACAAAAAAAACATCAATTACTATTTTTGAGAATTTTCAACTAAAATTCTTCTTTATTAAATCAATTATTTTAAATATTTTTTCAAAAAGTTTTTTGAGAATTTTCAAATCCATTTTTCTGCAATTCAATTTAACGAAATTACAATTATTCGAAAATTCCTCATTTGAATATATCTTAGAAAATAAAAACTTTAAATAATTTTTAAAAAAATTCAACTAAACTTTTTTTTTAAAAAAATTAATTCTACCGAATTCTTAGTTAAAAGTATGAAAAATTCAAATTTTTAAAGATTTTAATATGAAACCTTTTGAAAATTCAATTATTTCTAAAAATTCATGCTGTAATGATTTTTATATTTAATTATTATCAATAAAATTTAAACTAAAATTAATTTTTGAATTAATTTTTATTACAAAATTCAACGAGAATTCAATTATTTAAATAAAAATAAATAATTTATTGAATAATATTGAATATTTCTTGATATTCAATTCTCATAAAGAATTTTATCAACAAATATTTAAATAATTGAATTCTTTCGACGAATTTAAATAAAATTTTTAAGAATAATTTCATTTTTTGAGATATTCGAAAAAATTGTATTAAAAATTTATTGAATTTATATAAAATTGTTATTATTTATGAAAATAATTAAATAAATTTTTAAAAATTTAATTCGTTCGACGAATTTAAATGAAATTTTTATAAATAATATAATTTTTCGAGAAATTCGAAAAATATTGTATTAAAAATAATTGAATTCTCATGAAATTTTTTATTATTCATGAAAATAATTAAACAAATTTTTAAATAATTAAATTATTTCGACAAATTTGAATAAAATTTTTATGAATAATTTCATTTTTCAAAAACACCGAAAAAATTCTACTAAAAATAATTGAGTTTCTGTGAAATTTTTATAATTTATGAAAATAATTAAATGTTTGCGTAAAATTTAATTAATTTTTTTTTAAATAATTAAATTGTTTTTGAAAATTGGATTAAAATAATAGATATTTAAAAACATTGAACTGGATTTTCTTATTTAAGAAAAATAATTGAATTTTGCCAAAAAATTTTATTCAAATTCTAGAAAATAGTTTAATTATATCGTAAAGTAGAGAAACCTTTTCAATAATTAAATTTCTGCAAAGAATTTTATCATATTTATGAAAATTAATGAATTCTTTTTGTAATGAATATTGTTATTTATGAAAGTAATTAAATTTTGCAAAGAATTTTATTAAAATTGATGAAAATAATTGAATTTCTAGAATGAATTATTGCGAAGAATTTTATAAAAAATATTTAATTGATTTTTGTTCCAAAAAAACACTTTTGTAAATTCTGTTTTAAATAATTAAATTCTTCTGAAATTTTTTATTATTTATAAAAATAATTGCATGTTTAAGTAGGATTTTATCAAAAATTTTTTTTGATAATTTAATTCTTTTGGAAAACTTTATTACAATAGTTGATATTAAAAATCTTTAAATCCAGGAAAATTTTTGAAAATAATTGAAATTTTGAAAAGAATTTTATTAAAATTTTTGAAAATAATTAAATTTTGGAGAAGAATTTTATTGTTTATAAAAATAATTGAAATTTTTAAGAGAATTTTTTTTTAAATTTTCGAACATAGTTGAATTTCTGCGAAGAATTTTATTATGTACTTTTGAAAATAATTGGATTTCTGCAATTTTTTTGAAACTTCTACAAAATTCAATGTTGTTTTTAGTGTTTTTAACTAAAATTCTTTTATAAATGCATTATTTTTAATAATTAATTAAATATTTGTTAAACAATTTAACTAATTTCAGAAATTTTAGAATTCCTAAGTTCTTTAAAATTTCTAATGAAATTCATTCAAAATTGAAATTTTATAAAATTTTAAATTAAAACTCAGATAATATTTTTGTGGCCTTTGGTCTATTAAAAAAAAAAAAAAAAAAAAAAAAAAAATATTATCTGAATTTTAACAATAAGGTCTACAACATTCACTATTTAAATTAAAACGTTTTGAAGTTGATTTATTTATAAAAATTGCAAACGAAACTGTTTTAAAGTTCAATTAATTTTGAAATATTTAAGTATAACTATTCATTAAATAATTTTATGATAGTTATTTGAGAATTAAGTTCTTTAAAAAGAAATTGTCATTTTGGACACTTCAAACAACTGACAAAAATTCCATTCAATATTTTATTTTCCTGACTTTTTCCTAAATTTCCATCAAAAATTTTTTTCTTCAAAAAATAATTTAATTCTTACAAAGAATTTTATTAAAATGCCTCGAAATAATTGAATTTTCGGGAATAATTGTGTTACTTATCGACATAATTGAATTAATTCGAAGAATAATTTATGTAAATTACTTATGTTTTATTAGAAAATTCTACTAGAATTCAATTATTTAAATACAAATTTAAATGTAAAAATGCAAAAAAATAATTTATTAAATAATTGAACGTTTCTTAAAATTCAATTCCCATAAAAAATCGTTATCAACAAATTTTCAAATAATTGAATTCTATCAACGAATTTTAATAAAATTTTTAAGAATAATTACATTTTTCGAGAAATTCGATTAAAATTGTATTAAAAATAATTGAAATTCTGCATTGAATTTTATTATTTATGAAAATAATTGAATTCTTTCGAAGAATTTTATTAAAATTTTCAAAAATAATTAAATTCTTGTAAAAAATTAACAGGAATTCAATTATTTTTAAAAATTTTAATAAAATTCTTGGCATAAATTAAAAATAACAAAATTCTTAGCAGATCTTCAATTACTTTCAGAAATTTTAATAAAATTTTTCTCAAGAATTTAAATATTTTCGTAAAATAATAAAAATCTTTGCAGAGATTCAATTATTTTCAAAAGTCTTAATAAAATTCTTCGCAGGAATTCAATTATTTTCAAAAATATCAGAATTTTAGCAGAAATTCAAACATTTTAAAAAGTTTTGATAAAACTTTTTTTGGTAGAAATTCAATTATTTTTAAGACAATTTTAAAAAAATGTCTTAATAAAATTCAATTATTTTAAAAATTTTAATGTAATTCTTCGAAAGAATTCAATTATTATAATCTAAGATATTTTAACTGAAATCTATTTTTAAATCAATGTTTATGAGAAAATTCCTTGCGAATTCAATTATTTAAATACAAAAATAAATAATTTATTGGATAATTGAATGTTTCTTGGAATTGAATTCCTATTAAAAATTTTATCAACAAATTTTTAAATAATTAAATTCTTTGGACGAATTTTAATAAAATTTTTAAGAATTTTTTCGAGGAATTCGATTAAAATTCTATTGAAAATAATTGAATTCCTAAAAAAAAAATTTATTATTTAGGTACTAAAATAATTGAATCCCCGTAAAAATTTTATTATTTATGAAAATAGTTGAATGATTGAGAAGAAATTTATAAAAAAAAATTGTTATTAATGAAATTCTTGTGAAATTTTTATTATTTTTTGAAAATAATTAAAAGATTTTGTAGAATTTTATTAAATTCTTTTTTAAATAATTAAATTCTTCTGGCAAATTTTATATGCAAATAGTAGATATTGAACAATATTTAATTTTTGCGAAGAATATTATTACTTTTGAAAATAATTGAAATTTTGCAATGGATTTTATTAAAATTTTTGAAAATAATTGGATTGTATTACTTTAGAAAATAATTGAATTCGTGTGATAAATATTGTTTATTATGAAAATAATTGAAATTTTGTAATGAATTTTAATAAATTTTTTGAAAATAATTGAATTTTGTCGAAGAATTTTACTATTTATTTATAAAGATAATTGAAATGTTGACAATGTTTTTTAGATTTTTTGAAAATAATTAAATTTCTGAGAAAAATTTTAAATATTTCTAAAAATAATTGAAATTTTGACGAGAATTTAAAAAAAATGTTGAACATAATTGAATTTTTGCGAAGATTTTGATTACTTTTAAAAATATTTGAATTTCTGCAATCATTTGTAATTTCTCTAAAATTCTCAAAATTATATCGTACAATTTACGAACTTTTCATCCTTTTTGAATGAAATTACGGACTTTACGGACCGTTTTTAAAAAAAACGGACTTTTACGGACAAAAATATTGTTAAATAATTGATTTTTTCGAAATTCCTTTGAAAATGCTATTCTAAATTAATTGAATTCCTGTGGAAATTTTATTATTTATGAAAATAATTGAATTTTGTATGAATTTTATAAAAATTTTTTTAATAATTGAATTCTATTGCAAAATTTAATGAAAATAATTAAATTTCGAATATTTTTTGAAAATAATTGAATCTTTGATTATAATTTTTTTGAATAGTTTTTTGATTTTTAGTATTATCGAATTTAAAGTATAGTGGAAATTGTGAAAAAAACAGAAATAGTAGCTTTTAGTGGCTACAATCTAAAAAAGTATCCAAATAGTAGCCTAACGTAAAAAAGTAGTAAATAGTAGGATTTAGTAGATGAGTGACTGCGAAGCCTGCATTTTACAACAAAAAAAAGAAAAATCGATTTTTTGAAATCCTTGACCAGAAAGTCCCCTTAATATTCTACTCCAATTTATTAATAGAAATGAATTATTTTTCTTCCTATTATTATCGCATAATAAACATCAACAGGTTTACAACAAATTTTAATTTTATGAAAGTTTTAAAAAATTAATATACAAAATGCAGAAAATATTTGAAAGAATTTTAAGAGATTCAAATATTTACATCAACGTTTATTTAAAAGCCCAATGAAACGTATTCAATTTCTTTCCCACTTGAAATCAATAATCCACTTGAAACTTATTGACCCCTATTTATTTTTTGAATCAATTAAACTTGAAATATTTCTTTCGTCATAAAATCAAAAGTATCTACACTACATTTGTAGCTAGATAATAACATAAACCTCTGTTATTTTTTAATTTATTTATAATTTATTTATTCTGGAAGAAATTATTCATATGGGACAAAAAAATACAATTACAAAGGGGGAAGTAAAAAATGTAATTTTTATACGAATATTTTGAGAATTGATGAAATTTTATTTCTTATTAAATTAGTTTATTACCAGTTGAAAATGAAAATAAATAAAAATATTAGCGTAGGTTAAAATTGACCAACTTAACACAATATTGGTCCCACTGTCAAAATTGAACGTAAAAGAGTATTTTAGTATTTCATAAAATAATAAACAAAGAAATTTTTGTTATGAAAACATTGAAAATTATGAATTGTGTAAAGAAACAAGTATTTATTTTGAAGGGGGTGAGTTCATTTAATAGTTTTAATTGAATTCTGTAAAAACCAAACGCGAATGTTATTGTTTTTGTCTATATAAAGAAAAGAGACTAAAATGCATATAAATAAAGAAAATGGAATAATTACTCTTGACCAATTTATTACATCCGCTCTGTGGAGTAATTATCTAATTAAATTTACTTACGACATATACGGGAAAGCACCTTATAGACGCTATGAAAAGACTTGGCGTTATTTTTTCCCTTTAAACGCATCACTGGTGCCACATTTTTATTTATATTTTAATTTTTCCACAAAGTCACAGTCAATAACGTCATTCACTGTTTGTCATTTGAAAATAAATAATAAATTGGGCATTGATGACAATACTTTCCAGTCTGCACTACAATGACATATGTCAAATATCAACCTATATTACACATGAAATTAGCTGCAGATGCAAGAGGTCTGAAGTTGCTCACTTTTTGATATCGTTGCCGAATATCGATTACTCACTGGCTGTTTTTTTTTGTTTTCGTCGGCGTTCACCCTTGGTTCACCCGGTGTTAACACCGAGGTAACGAAAGTCCAATCAGTTATAATATTTATTGACATTCTCTTGGAACTATCCAATGGGATTAACACCGAGTGAACGCCGAAAACAGCCTTCTGTTGGGCGCGAGTAAAATGACGTTTCATTACTCGAACATAACCTTCAAATAAATCCAAACTGCATTTCGGAATTTTAACATTTTTTTGGTAATAATAATTTCAAACTTAAATTTTCATTAATCAGTGTCTATTTCGCCCGTTACAAAAAACACAGTGACGGGCGAAATAAGAATAGTTTATTTCGCCCATCAGGAGAATATACAAAAAAAGGGCCGAAGTTTATTTCGCCCGTTGGAAAAGAAAAATTTGCAAAATAAGAAACTGTCGAAATAAAAAAAACTAGATTAATTCGCCCGTCAGAGAAATTATGACACGATTTATAGAATAATGGATTAATTAGGAGAACTAAATTATTTCGCCGTATAAATAATTAATCATAACCTCCAATTCATAAAAATTTTTTATTGGTAAGTGCGACTAATTTAAAGTCTATTGTCGTTCGGTCAACGATTTACTAAGGGAAATATTTTTTCGATTATTAATTATTATTTAACTAGCCAAATTATTCTAAACATACATAGCAATTAATTATTTTAAAACTTTACCAAATCACTGAATCTATGATAAATTAAAAGAAAGTCCGACAAATTAGATTATTTTTAATTTCTAAAATTTAACGTCAAATTCGTAAATTCAAATCGAATTTCAAGTGAATCCGATAAATTTTATTAAATTACTATTTTTGCTGCTAAACTTTCTTTTTGTACGAGAAAAATTGAAATATGCAAAAATTATTACTTGATACTTTCATTTCTCAAAATAATTTTAAAATTAAAAATAATCTTCATTTCGAAAATTGTAATTCTGAAGAATAAAAAAATGATTAAATTACATTTATATTTTTGAACAAAGAATCTCTTATCTTTGCAAACTAAAATAATTGCAATAACAAATTAAATAAATTTAAAAAAGATAAAGTTAAATAACTTTCTAATTTTTTTTTTGAATAATTTTACTAAATGGTCTCATTTTGATTAGCATTTAAATTGATATGTAAATTATAATTTTTTGTAAAACAAAATACTAACTCTAACTTGAATTAATTATTTAATTATAATATGTAATATAATATTTAATGAAACTGTACATTTGAAAAAATATATATTCTACATTCATTTTTAGAAACAAAAAAAATGTCCGTAAAAGTAAGTTTTTTTGAAAAAAGATTTTTAAAATCCGTAATTCGATTGAAAAAGGAAAAAAAGTTTGTAAATTGTACGATATAATTTTGGAAATTTTAAAAAAGTTACAATTGATTGCAGAAATTTAATCATTTTCAAAAGTAATAAAACTCTTCGCAAAAATTCAATTATTTTCAAAAAAATTTTTAAATTCTCGTCAAAATTCCAATTATTTTTATATAAATAAAAAAAATCTTTCCCGAAATTTAATTATTTTCAAAAAATAACAATATTTTTTCTTCGCAAAAATTCTATTATTTTCAAAACTTTTAATAAACTTCTTAAAAAGAATTCAATTATTTTTATAAATAACAAAATTCTTGGTAAAAATTTAATTATATTTGATCAAATTTTGCACTTTAATTATCATTTACTCAAAAGGTCCATAATTTAATATTAACATTACTTTAATATTGAGAATTGACATTTGATATAATTTTTTTTTAATTGAAAAAATTAATAGTAGATTTTCATTGATTCATAAAATATTCTATGAATCACGTATTCGATCACATAATATGCAGGGTTGCCACAGGGAATTCAGGGAAAAGTCAGGGAAAGTAAAATTGGTCAGGGAAATCAGTGAAATTCAGGGATTTTTAGTAAAAGTACTGAAAAATGAATTGAATTTGATGTTTTTTTGTTTGCTTCATAAAACTATGAAATTACCACGAATTTTAATACAAAACCTTCAATTTTTTCTATTTCTGACAATAATTTCTTTTTAAATAACTTCATTTTTCAAAAAGTATCATAAAATTATGACTTATAAATTATTTAATGAATAACTTTTACAATCTTCATAAATACTAGATTGATAAAAGAATTTTAGTTCAAAATACTAAAAAAAAAAATTTTATTTTCGAAAAGATACAAATCATTTCAGAAATTCAAATTATTTTCAAAAATTATAAAAATTCTTCACAGAATTTCAATTATATTTAAAAACTAAAAAAAATTCTCGTCAAAATTTCAATTATCTTTATAAATAATAATATTCTTCATCGAAATTCAATTATTTTAAAAAATTTTAATAAAATTCTTGTCAAAATTTCACAGGAATTCAATTATTTACAAAATTTTTAATAAATTTCTTCAAAAAAATTCAATTATTTTCATAAGCAATAAAATTTTCACAGGAATTCAATTATTTAGAATACAAAATTTCATAAAATTTTTCGAAAGATATCAATTATTTAAAAAGATTTTTATAAAATTCGTCGCAAGAATTCAATTATTTAAAAAAAATTGAACAAAGTTCTTTTCAAGAATTCAATTATTTTTATAAATAATAAAATTCTTCACCGTAATTCAATAACTTTTATAAACTTGAATAAAATTCTAGAAAGAATTAAATTATTTTCAAAAGTAATAAAATTCTTCGCAGAAATTAAATTATGTTTAAAAATTTTTTTTTAAATTTTTTTAAAAATTTCAAATATCTTTATAAATAATAAAATTCTTCATTAAAATTCAATTATTTTTATAACTTTTAATAAAATTCTTGGCAAAATTTGACAGGAATTCAATTATTTACAAAATTTTTAATAAATTTTTTCAAAAAAATTCAATTATTTTCATAAATAATAAATTTTTCATAGAAATTCAATTATTAAAGATAAAAAATTTCATCAAATTTTTCGAAAAATATCTATTTTTAAAAAAGATTTTTATAAAATTCGTCGCAAGAATTGAATTATTTAAAAAAATTTAACACAATTCTTTGCAAGAATTCAATTATTTTTATAAATAATAATTGTTCGCAGAAATTCAATTATGATAAAAAAAAATTCTTGTCAAAATTTCAAGTATCTTTATAAATAATAAAATTCTTTTCCTAAATCCAATTATTTTAGAAAAATTTTAATAAAATTGTTGGGATAATTTTAATTAATTTCATAAATAATAAAACACATCGCAGGATTTTAATTATTTTTGATACAATATTTTAATCGAATTTCTCGAAAAATGTAATTATTCTCAAAGATGTTATTAAAATTTGTTTTGACAAATTTTAATAAACATTCAATTATTTAATAAATTACCTATTTATTTTTTAATTTTAATAATTGAATTCTTCTAGAATTTTCTAATAAAAATTGATTTAAAAATGAATTACCGAATAATCGATTTATTATTTACGAAAATAATTGAATTATTGCAACGAATTTTATTACATTTTTTTTAAATAATTGCATTTTTTTGAGAAATTTTACTACTTGTAAAAATAATTAAATTCTTAATTATTTTTATTTTATTAGGATTTTTGTAAATAATCAACTTTGCTTTGAAAAATTTTATGGTAATTTAAATTATTATAAGTTGTTGAATTTTATAGAAGTTTTAATTTGAATGTTTTGAAAAATTGTAATTCCTACAGAAGAATAATAATGATTAAATATTTATTTAAAAAAGAATTGATTTTTTTGAATAATTTGACAATTCAAGACATTTGTAAATAAATGTAATAGAACATTTTTTTGAGTATCTAATAATTTTTAGAGTGAATCAGAATATTCTTTAGGGTCAGGGAAAAAGTGGAAATTGTTTCTGGAAATCAGGGAAAAATAAAATTAAATATTTGTGGCAACCCTGCATAAAAATTGAGACATTAAAAGTTTATAAAATTAACATTTTTTTAAAACAATTAGTAATATTATAGTTAACAAATAAGTATTTTTTTATTGCACTAATAAATCCCCGGTAAGAAGAGGTTGATTAAAATAGATTGAAATGTTTACACAAAATTTCAAAAATGACATTGGTTTGGCATTAAAAGCCTATTGAATTTTGACCATATATGTACTCATTTTAATGCATTTTATTACCTTTTCATTAAAACGAATTAAAGTGTCAGCAATATTTAAGTCATAAATGAAATTCTAATGATTACAAATTTTATGGTATTAAACAGAATAAAATTGTTTTCAATTCTAATTACCCAATAAGAAGTAAAATGTATACCGAATTAAATAGAATATAAATGTGTGCAGATGAATTATCTTTAAAGGAATTAAAACATGGAAGTTCAAAAATGACATAAGTTTGGCATTGAAATGATTCAGAATTTAGCGATATTTGTATACATTTTAATCTATTTTAATCAACCTCTTCTTACCGGGTCTCTTATAGAGAAATAAATAATAAAATAAATAAAAATAAATGCATCTTAAAATTTTAACATAAATTAATTTTCCGATTGCACTTAATATAAATCGTGTCATAATTTCTTTGACGGGCGAATTAATTTTTTTTTTTTATTTCGCCAGTTTCTTATTTTGCAAATTTTTCTTTTCCAACGGGCGAAATAAACTATTTTTCTTATTTCGGCTCTTTTTTCTGTATATTCTTCGTTTTCATTAGTATTAATTAAATTTTTTTCATTCTTAACTGTTTTAAATGTAAAATGACTGAATAAAGTTGTGGTTTTGACTTTTATACTCACGTCAAAACCCATCCCTGGTCAACTAGAATAATTTCGAGATTTTCGATTTTCTTCAATACGAGTTTTTTCCACTCATGCTTTTTTTAATGTGTTTTTTTTTCTTTTCTCCTTTAATTAATTTCTCAAAAAGAAGTGAAAGAAATAAATGAATTAAATTTTTTATAATAATCGTCGTGATTCCAGATTTCCGGATCTCTGTCCACACTTGAAGTTAGTTATAGTTATTCTTTTGTTTTTTATACGTTTTGATAGAAAATAGAAATATACATATATACATATACATACATTATAATAATCGTAAGTTTCAGCAAATTATCTGCATTCATTTGTTTGTTTTGAAAATTTAATTTTGTGGATTAAGTATTGGCATTTTTTATATATTTTTTAATGTCAAACTTTTTAATGTGGAAAATACTTTACTTATTAAATTGTCTCGACTCTTTGGTAAAAAATCTAAAATTATCAAAAATTCGAAAAATTTCAAAAATCCGTTTTTCTTAAAATTCAACATTTTTTCTTCATTTTTATGGGATTTAGCTTCATTATTTTTGTGCTTTTGGAAAATACTTTACTTATTAAATTGTCTCGACTCTTTGGTAAAAAATCTAAAATTATCAAAAATTCGAAAAAATTCAAAAATTTGATTTTCTTAAAATTCAACATTTTTTCTTCTCTTTTATGGGATTTAGCTTAATTATTTTTGTGCTTTTGGAAAATACTTTACTTATTAAATTGTCTCGACTCTTTGGTAAAAAATCTAAAATTATCAAAAATTCGAAAAATTTCAAAAATCCGTTTTTCTTAAAATTCAACATTTTTTCTTCTCTTTTATGGGATTTAGCTTAATTATTTTTGTGCTTTTGGAAAATACTTTACTTATTAAATTGTCTCGACTCTTTGGTAAAAAATCTAAAATTATCAAAAATTCAAAAATCCGTTTTTCTTAAAATTCAACATTTTTTCTTCTCTTTTACGGGATTTAGCTTCATTATTTTTGTGCTTTTGGAAAATACTTTACTTATTAAATTGTCTCGACTCTTTGGTAAAAAATCTAAAATTATCAAATATTCGAAAAATTTCAAAAATCCGTTTTTCTTAAAATTCAACATTTTTTCTTCTCTTTTACGGGATTTAGCTTCATTATTTTTGTGCTTTTAAAAAATACTATACTTATTAAATTGTCTCGACTCTTTGGTAAAAAATCTAAAATTATCAAAAATTCAAAAATTTGATTTTCTTAAAATTCAACATTTTTTCTTCTCTTTTATGGGATTTAGCTTCATTATTTTTGTGCTTTTGGAAAATACTTTATATATTTAATAGTCTCGACTCTTTGGTAAAAAATCTAAAATTATCAAAAATTCGAAAAATTTCAAAAATCCGTTTTTCTTAAAATTCAACATTTTTTCTTCTTTTATATGGGATTTAGCTTCATTATTTTTGTGCTTTTGGAAAATACTTTACTTTTTAAATTGTCTCGACTCTTTGGTAAAAAATCTGAAATTATCGAAAATTATCAAAAATTCAAAAATCCGATTTTCTTAAAATTCAACATTTTTTCTTCTCTTTTACGGGATTTAGCTTCATTATTTTTGTGCTTTTGGAAAATACTTTACTTATTAAATTGTCTCGACTCTTTGGTAAAAAATCTAAAATTATCAAAAATTCGGAAAATTTCAAAAATCCGTTTTTCTTAAAATTCAACATTTTTTCTTCTTTTTTATGGGATTTAGCTTTATTATTTTTGTGCTTTTGGAAAATACTTTACTTATTAAATTGTCTCGACTCTTTGGAAAAAAATAAAAAATTATTAAAAATTATCAAAAATCCGAAAAATTGAATTTCTTAAAATTCAACATTTTTTTTCTCTTTTATACCATTTAGCTTTATTATTATTTGAATTTTTATTCAAGAGAAAAAATGGAAAACTGAAAAAATTTAGAATTTTTTAAAAATTACAGGCCTTTTCCATGATTTTCCTGATTTCCAGAAGCCTTTTAAAAATTCCATACCATTTCCATTATTTCCATGATTTCCAGATTCTGTAGGAACCCTGCTTTTGTCTGACTTTCTTCTAAATTATCGAATTCAGTGATTTCTGGGGTGAATTTGGTTAAGTTGTAAAATGATTAATTTCTATTTGAATTCGTTTTTTTTGAATGTAGAAAATCTGATGTTAATTTAATTCTTTTTTCGTTATGCACGGCAAAAAATATTTAGCTGGATGAACTACAGATTTCACTTTAGTAGCGAAATTATTTAGTGCTTCAATTAATACTTTCGTTATTCTAGAGAAACTTATCGCTATTTCAAGTAAAACTTTTTTCAGTGTGTAATAATTATTATTTCTTTAAAAAGTATTTAATTTAAAAAGGCTTTATAAAATAAGCTATGCAAAAGATGACCCAGATACTAATTGTAATTGTTCTAGCCATAGTTTAAGTCTAGTAATGTAAATTCTATTTAAATTGAGACCATTGAGTGAAATTATTTGAATTTTAGTTAGTTAAATCTCTTTGTTAGGTTATAATAATTATTTCTTTAATATTTTTTAAATTGTTTAAAATAAGCAGCCCCATACAACATTCCCGCGCGCTTGCGCGCGGATAGTTTGGCTAGTAACAAAATAATATGTATGTGTAATATATATTAAATAAAAATGTATATAAAGACAGAGAGAAAAAGGAGAAAGGATTTGTATGTATACCAAATATTTTGAAATATCTAAGCCCATCGAAATGAGTGCATATTAAATAAATATTGAAATTATATTTTTCTACTTTTCTTTTCAGATAAACAATTTTATTTTTTGAAAAATGTCAGACTTAACATTGAGTCCTTCAGCACGCACAAAGAGAAAAACAATCGAAGCAGCAAATAAAATTAAGCATGGTTCTCCGAAATTGCACCAAGTATTACGACAGGTTAGTTTCTTCTGGTCAGAATCTATTCTGTAAATATTTATATTTATTAAAAATAAAAGCAATAAGTATTAAATAAAATTTAAGTAAATTAACTAATTGTAAGTAATAATTTAAATTAATAAATGACAAACATTATCATTATCTAATATTAACATAAATAATTAATTTTCAAACTATAAGAACTGTTATTGAAAAAATGTTTATAAAATGTGTGCATGTAAAGAAAAAAAAATGAATATTAAATTAAATCTTTAAAAACTAGAGATGTCGAGAGCGAATGCGGGAGAGGCGAGATGAACTATTCAATGGACGTAGACTAGGACTTGATTCTCCTCCAGATGATGTACAAGAAACTTTATCAACTATCCTTCGTAAAGAGTTCGATGAAATTATTTCAGCAGACTTGGAAGAAGAGCCCTCCAAGTTGGTTTTTGATGATCCACTTGAATTGGAAGAAGCTATTCAGTTGGAAGCTGAAATTATGGTTGAAGAAGGTTTGTTTAAATTTAAAAAAAAAATTTTAATTTAATTTTTTTTTGTAATATATTAAAATTCATCTTTATATAAAAACCTCAAATAATATTCTTTGAAATATATTTTCTAATAAACTACTAGCAACAATTCGCGCAACTAACTTCTTAATCAGTGTTTAAAAAAATAGCAATTTTAAAAATAATATAGAGTTTAAAAATTTTTAATTCAAATTTTTTTTCCTAAAAATAAAATATGAATTGGAATATAGTTTTAATATTATTATATCTATAATAATCGTATATTCGTATATTCTCAGCTGAGACAGGAAATTTAGGAAAAAGTCAGACATTTTTATTAAAAGTACTGGAAAAAATTAAATTTTTAGAATTCATAATAAGAAAATTCTCAATTTTGGTGTCTTTTTTGTTTGCTTCATAAAACTATGAAATTACCACGAATTCTGGTATAAAACCTTCAAATTTTTCTATTTCTGACAATAATTTTTTTTTAAATAACTTAATTCTTCAACAACTATCATAAAATTAGTACATAAAAATTATTTAATGAATAATTTTGCTTAAAAAATATTTAAAAATTAATTCAATCTTAAAAGAGTTTGTTAATAAATTAGTGACCAAACGAGATTATGAACGAAAATATGCATAATTATTAATTAAAGCTAAAATAGTACAAATAAGGGTAAGAGATGTGATTGATGTCTATATTTCAAAATTCAGAACCTTAAGGTTAACCTTAAGAGCCCTTCAAGTTGGTTTTTGATGATCCACTTGAATTGGAAGAAACTATTCAGTTGGAAGCTCTTAAGAGTAAGATAAGAGAAATTAAATTAATAATTAATAATAATTAATAATAATAATTAATAATAATAATTAATAATTAATTAATTTAATAATTTTTTCCCTATATAATAATTTGTCTCTTATCTCTTGGAAGCTCTTAAGATTTCTTAAGGTTCTGTTTTCCCAGGTAAAAATGATTTGTACGCATTTCGTTCCAAAATCCGGCCAGATTCGTACAGAATTCCTATCGAATTCGTATGAAATTACTAGCGAAATTCGTGTGGCGTTTTGAAATGTTTTTTCGCACGAATATTCGTGCGAATAATACCCGGATTTTTTTAAATGGATTTTCAAGAAATATTTTCGTTCGGAAATCCGTATAGAAATTCGCACGGAATAATTTTTGACAATTTCTTCAAAAATTTCGACGAAATTTCCATACGAAATTCGAGCGAATTACGAACGAATTTATTTTGAAAATTTTTATACAATTCTGCTCGGAAATTCCTATGGAATTACGCACGAAATGTCAGCCAAAAATTTTCTCAAAACTTTTCGACGAAATTTTCATATGAAATTCGTACGAAATTTGAACGAATTACGATCGAATTTATTTTGGAAAATTTTTATAAAATTCTGCTCGGAAATTCGTATGGAATTCCGCACGAAATGTCAGCCAAAAATTTCTTCAAAAATTTTCAGACAAATTTTCATACGAAATTCGTACGAATTACAAACGAATTTAATTTAGAAAATTTTTATAAAATTCTGCTCGGAAATTCGTATAGAATTCCACACGAAATGTCAGCCAAAAATTTCTTTAAAAATTTTCGGCCACATTTCCAAAATAAATTCGTTCGTAATTCGCTCGAATTTTGTACGAATTTATTTTCGAAAATTCGCTGAAAATTTTTGAAAGAATTTTCAGGTGACATTTCGTGCAGAATTTCGTACGAATTTCCGAGCAGAATTTTATAAAAATTTTTTCAAAATAAATTCGTTCGAAATTCGCTCGAATTTCGTACGAATTTTGTATGGAAATTTCGTCGAAAATTTTTTAGGAAATTTTTGGCTGACATTTCGTGCGGAATTCCATACCAATTTCCGAGCAGAATTTTATAAAAAATTTTAAAAATACATTCGTTCATAATTCGCTCGAATTTCGTACGAATTTCGTATGGAAATTTAACCGATAATTTTTGAAGAAATTGTCAAAAATTATTCCGTGCGAATTTCTATACGGATTTCCGAACGAAAATATTTCTTGAAAATCCATTTAAAAAAATCCGGGTATTATTCGCACGAATATTCGTGCGAAAAAACGTTTCAAAATGCCACACGAATTTCGCTAGTAATTTCATACGAATTCGATAGGAATTCTGTACGAATCTGGCCGGATTTCGGAACGAAATGCGTACGAATTTCGTACGAATCATTTTTACCTGGGTTAACACTTCCGGTTCCGCTAATTCTAACAAGACACAAATGTTTAAATCGTCCAACAAGTATCCAACATATTTAATCCCCACAGCACCGAAACTTTCCTAAAAATTTATTAAATATTTACTTGCAATATTCGTCATATTTAACTGAAAAGTTTAGTGAAAATTGTGTAAAGATTTAAATGTCCCGATTAAATAAATGTTTAGCGCGAAGCTTTCCTGAACATTTCCTGAACATGAAATTACATCTTCGCATAATTATAATTATAATTATAATTATGCGAAGATTTTATTGAAATGTTCAGGAAAGCTTCGCGCTAAACATTTGTTTAATCGGGACATTTAAATCTGTACACAACTTTCAATAAACATTGCAATTAAATATTCCGAATATTGCAAGTAAATATTTAACAAATTTTGAGGAAAGTTTCGGTGCTGTGGAGGAATTCTAACAGAGTTGCGTTTACAATTTTAATAAATAAATAAACTTCAAACGGTTTCAATTTGATATAAAATTTCAATTTTTAATGAATTTAACTAGAAATTTTAATGAACTTAGATTTTTGAAAAATTTTAATAATTCATAATTTTCTAAAATTTGTTAAATTTGTCAATAGGTATATATTTAATTAATTAATAAAAATAATAGATTTATAGAAGAATAATTTTAGAAATTAAAAAAGAATTGAATGTTAGGGAAGTTACAAATAATTGCAGAAATTCAATTGTTTTTAAGAATAATAAAATTCTTCGCAGAAATTCAATTATGTTGAAAATTTAAAAAAAAATCTCATCGAAATCCCAATTATCTTTATAAATAACAAAATTCTTCTCCAAACTTCAATTCTTTTCAAAAATGTGAATAAAATTCTTATCCTAATTTCAATTATTTTGAAAAATTTTCCTCATTTTAATGATTTCCAATGTCTACTATTTTAATAAAACTTCCCCGACAGAATTCAATTATTTTTGGAAAAAATTTAATAAAATTATATATATATATATGCAAACATTTAATTATTTTCAAAAATAATAAAATTCTTAGCAGAAATTCAATTATGTTCGAAAATTTAAAAACATTCTCTTAAAAATTTCAAATATTTTTATAAATAATAAATTGTTTCTCCAAAATTTAATTATTTGCAAAAAATTTAATAAAATTCTTCGCAAAATTTTAATTATTTTCAAAAATTTTCCTAAATTCAAAGATTTTAACCCTTTCAGGGGCACATTATTTCATATGGACGGATTTTTTTTACATCTCATGACTTAATATTTTTGGGGTCGCTGATTACGAATCTGATGTTAGTTTTTAAAAATTCAAAATAACGGATCCAATATGGCGGACGATTTTTTAAAAATTGTTCAGTTTTACCTGAAACTTGTCACTCGGGGGTTTTAGGGATCGCTGATGACGAATCTGATATTAGTTTTTAAAAATTAAAAATATCGGATCTGATATGCCGGATGACTTTTTACAAAGTTGATTCAATTGACCTAAAAGTTGGTTCTTGGGTGAACCCCGGTCACTGATTACAAAGTCGGTGATAGTTTTTTAAAATTCAAAATGGCATTTGCCATTTTTCAAAATTTATTCAGATTTGCTTGATACTTACTTTCAAGAATTAATGCTTTTTAGAAATCTAAGATCGCTGGCTAATTATAAATTTTTGTTGTAAAATTAGCAGGATTTTTGTAATAAACATGTTCTAGTTTATTAATTTTAAAAATTTCTCCGCTAATTATTAATCCACGATCTAAATTTAAAAATAGACTAAAGATTGGTAATCAGGGACTACAACAACCTCCTAGTAACAAGTTTCGTGACAAGCTAATAAATTTTTACATTTGTCATCTGTCATATTGGATCCGCAATTTCGAATTTTTAAAAACTAACATCAGAATCGTCATTAGCGATCCCTAAAACCCCCGAGTGATGAGTTTCATATAAAACTAAACAATTTTTAAAAAATCGTCTGCCATATTGGATCCGCCATATTGAATTTTTATAAACTGATGTCATATTCGTAATCAGCGACCCCAAAAACTCCCGAGTAACAATTTTTAGTCGATTTTAAAATGTTTAAAAAATTTGTGAATTTTAACAATAATTTATGAATTTTTTTAAACAATAGGAATTTTTTAACATGATCTAGGTTACATATTTTTAAAGCCCTATTCTTCCTGAAGAGAACGCACTAAATTTGCCTCAAAAATATTAATTTTCGTCAAAGAAATTGAGGCTTTTGTAGGTGGGACGTATACGTCCCACCGCGCTGTTTTCGCGTTATACATCAAGTTTAAATTTAACGTTCTTTTGTTTTTTTAATGTTTTTTGACTGGGATGATATTTTAAATAAGAAAATGTCTGTTTTAATTCAAATATATTAAATATTCATAAATTATTAAAAAGAATTTGTTGTAATGCTTGTTGTAATGGTGAACGTTGTTGGGTAAACTGAGCAAAAATCATTTTTGCCATAAAATCATTATTTGAAGCTTGCATGTTGAAAAATTTTTTCAATTCGTGCCATTGGTAAAGAATTTGGGAGCATGCTGATAGCCATACAAGCCATCGCGTTTTGCTGAGAGAAACTAACTTCCCAGGTGTTTTCCCATCGGTTTTGTTCTGAAAATAAAATAAATTATATATATAATATATTGTTGTTGGAAACGTTATGTATGTAAAATATTAAAATGTTGCTATTACCTTATAAAAATTTTCATATTTGTTTAGTCTCAGCGCACTATGTGCAAACCAATTGTACGTTTGTTGTGTTAAATAGGAAATGGAATCCGGAAAAATCTTATAAGCATACTCGGCACATTCATGGAGCGAATGACAAACGCATTTTAATAGTTGTAAATGTGGTACTCTTTCTTTCAAGTGCGTATAAAAAGAGTTTTCTGATCCGCACATTGCCGGTGCTCCATCTGTCCCTATTGCTTGAAGTTGGTTTAGCGGCAATCTAATTGACTCTAAAAAGTCGATGAGGGCTAAGGCAAGATTTTTACCAGTACAGCTTACAACTTCGATTATCCCCAAAAAGTCCGTTATAAAAACTTGACGACGTTTACAAAAGAATCGTGTGCACAAACCCATGAACTTTGTAACAGATATATCCGTCACTTCATCAGCTATAATAGCATAAGGTGAATCTCCAACATCAGTCACAAGATCCTTTAAAAAAGTTGGAGCAATAACAGAAGTGATAAGTTGCGAACATTTCGTCCGGTGCAGTTTTAAATTTTCAATAGGAGTACCCTTTCCTAATAATTTTAAAAGGTTCGTTAAATGATCTATACTTGAAATGGAGCAGTGCATGGATACATACATTGCTAATTTTAAATCCAAAATTTTCATTTCCTCATTAACTTTAACAATAGCTGAAAATAATTTAAAAAATCATTAAAAAAATTAACATTTATAAATTTAAAAATTATAATAAAAAAAATAAGCATACCAAAATTATGCAAATTTGGTTGTTGTCTTTTATCAAAACTTTTTTCATTTTGCAAATGTACTGGTCTACTAGCGTGCCTAATCAGATCATTTTTGTGAGCCCTTAAATGAACTTTGCAAAGCTTACAAAAAGCTTCTGTTTTCCCATTTAAAATGTCAGTTTCTTCTGACCTTTGCAACCAACCTTTTAGTTGCGGATCTTTTTCCCAACTAACGCAATACTTTTTTGTATATTTTCCCCACTTTCTCATTCTAAAAAAAAATTAAAATATATAGCCAAAAAGAATATTTTTAAATACAAGCTATTTAAATTAAATTATCTGAAACGAATATTTATTTTTTAATAAAATGTCTGAAATTTTAATAATAAGATAACGGACATATTGCTTTATATAGTGTGTTCAACACGTGGTTACTTTAAAACAGGGTTAAATCAAATTATTGTGAAAATCTTCAAAATGTATAAATATTCATGCATACCTGCCTAAAAAGGTTTTGAGTCTCAAATCTTGGGTGTTCAGCGCCACCGACGAACGTAGATTTCCCGAATTGAGAACGTAGCACATCCAAACTATAGTTCCTCCACTTTCCGACGATTGGGATTGCACGGTACTCAACATTTTTTCAGTGTGCTAAATAACGTCCCAAAAACGTTATATGTTTCTAAAACGTTTTAAAAGCAATGGAACGTTTTTGGAACATTATTTTGCACACATGAAACGTTCTAAAAACGTTTTTGCAACGTTTTTAAAACAATGATGGTTTTTTGCCCACTCGGTTTTGTTATATTTTAGCTTCACACTGAAGGGGTTAAGTTACTTAATGTGAAAAAATTTTTTTTTTTGAAATTTTGAAAAATTAAAAATCTGTTTTTGAAAAAAAATCTTCTTCGATTTTTTTCAAAATTTTACTAAATATTAGAGCAAATGTGCTTTACATGTCCTGTAAGTTTCATCTTGGGATCTCAAAGGGATTCAGAGTAAAAAAATAAAACCTAACCACATATTACGAACATATGGGGCAAAATCCTGAACTGCCCAGGTCAAAAAATGAATTTTCTCTAAACTTTGCTAAAATGTTACTATTATTAGTTGAAGTGTAAATATAAATTTTTTTGAATTTGATAAAATATTTTTTGAGTTATGGAGTTTCAAAATTTTGATTAATCAAATTTAAAGTATGAATAGTAATTTTTAAAGTGGTTTTCACGGACTATAAGCTGGTGATAAAAAAAAGTTGTTATCTTTCGATTTGACCTTGAAATTCAAGGTCAAATTCTTAATTTCAATATATGAGGCATTCTCTAACATAAAAGCCACCCTAAAAAATTTCTTTTTGGAAATGAAGTATGTTAAAGTATACATAAAAACAAGTATGTATAGTAGGTTTTTAGGTCTGTGTAATGCGTGGTTGCCATGTTATCAGGGGCTCAATTTTTTTCAGTATAATTTTCAAATGGCAATACCTTTTACCCATATCAATGGATTTTAAAGTTGTATGAGTGTTTTTAGTAGAGAATTTTCCAAACTTTTGAATGAAATTACTAATTATTTAAAAAATGTAGTTTCATAAAAAAAAATTAAAAAATTTTTTTTTTTTAATTTCCCCCCCTCTTTCCCCCCTTCAAATTTTTTCAAAAATACCCAAAAATGTTCCTTATTTTATAAGCTTTTCACCCCTCAAAAGCCATTTTGGGACATTGAAATGCGTACAAGCTACCAGATGATTTTGTAATTTGGTGCAACTCATCAATTTTGTCCTTATTATTATAATTTTTACCATAGTGTTGTGCAGTGACTGTCAATTAGGAATTTTTTAGTAAAATATATTGTTTGGAACATGGGAAGTAGGTGTTTCACATTGCACTATTAAAAATTCATTATTTAAAAAAAATTCTAGACTTCAAACATGTGTTTAATTACTGTAAAAAATACTAAATCACCATATGTCGTCGGCTTGGTGTAAAACTGTACCATTTCGGTAAATGTTTTTAAAACATACCAATTCGAGAAAAAAGTTTTTTGCTTTTTTCAAAGTTTGTCAACACTGGTGCTAGACATAAAATAAGGTTATGCATTTTTAATAAGCGGTATCCTAAATATTCACTTGTTTGAAGGGGGGAAAGAGGGGGGGAAATTAAAAAAAAATTTTTTTATAAAACTACATTTTTTTAAATAATTAGTAATTTCATTCAAAAGTTTGGAAAATTCTCTACTAAAAACACTCATACAACTTTAAAATCCATTGATATGGGTAAAAGATATTGCCATTTGAAAATTATACTGAAAAAAACTGAGCCCCTGATAACATGGCAACCACGCATTACACAGACCTAAAAACCTACTATACATACTTGTTTTTATGTATACTTTAACATACATACTTCATTTCCAGAAAGAAATTTTTTTAGAGTGGCTTTTATGTTAGAGAATGCCTTATATCTCAAAATCGGTGTTTTTAATTTTTTTCTAACCTATCCCAATCGAAAGGTTACCTTTTTTCCTATGAGCCATATAAAAATCAGAGTGGGACCATGGAACTTTTTGAAGAAATTAATTATAAATCATCATTTTCTATGTAAAATAATGATAAATTTAAAAAATAATTTTCCTCAAAAATTTCCATGGTCCCACTCTGATTTTTACAAGGCTCATAGAAAAAAGGTAACAAGCTTATAACTCGTGAAAACCTCTTTAAAAATCACTATTCGTACTTTAAATTCGATTAATTTTACTTATCAATATATTAAATTGAAAAAAAGATATTTTCAAAGAAATCCAAATTTTGAAACTTTATAACTCAAAAAATATTTTATGAAATTAAAAAAAAATTAATATTTATACTTCTACTAATAATAGTAACATTTAGAAAAGTTTAAAGAAAATTTATTTTTTGACCTGGGCAGTTCAGGATTTTTCCCCCATATGTTCGTAATATGTGGTTACGTTTTATTTTTTTACTCCGAATCCCTTTGAGATTCCAAGATGAAACTTACAGGACATGTAAAGCACATTTGCCCTAACATTTAGTAAAATTTTGAAAAAAATCGAAGTTGATGTTTTTTCAAAAACGGATTTTTAATTTTTCAAAATTTCAAAAAAAAAAAATTTTTTGAATTTTTTTTTTCATATTAATTTTAACTTAAAATATACTTAAAACCAAAGAAATCCTTTTTTCACAATCCAAAATCGGTTAATTAGAACCAAAGTTATAGCACTTTAAAAAAAAGACACAAATTTTGAAAATACCATATTTTTGGTAATTTTCAAAATTTTGAAAAAATATTTGGTGGAATTGTTTATCACTATAAAAGTAATAAATTTACAAAAGTACAGCCAAATCCAGACAAGTCATGAAAATAAGTGTGTTGAACTGATGTGGAATCCACCAGATGTTACAGTAACAATATTCTTATAGTAAAAAATAATGATTTTATCACTCTGTCATCTTCACAATATTCTTAAAAGTTGTTGAATTCCAGAATGTTTGAATTTGAAATTTTTGAAAATCTCAATTCCTATGAAAAAATAATAATTATTTATTTATTTATTTATTCAGAAATATACGGGCAATGCCCATTCGTACAGAATATTATTAAATATTTATTAAAAAATGAAGTTATTGATGTTTTCGAATAATTTTAAACTTAAAAAAATTCGTTAGTGAATATAACAGAATAATTTTTTGAGTAAAATTTTTTTCTTTATTTTCTAAAAATTAAAAAAGTTTCAATTTCATTTTCAATTAAAATTTGTAATTTACAAATAGAATTTATAAACATTTTTTTTCCCTTATTTTTAAAAAATTGAATTTTATTAAATCAATTTTAATTAAGAAATAGAAATTATGCAAATTATTTCCTTACGAAAATTGAGAATTTTCTACCAAAAATATTGAGAAACGGGAATATCTAATGTTTTTTTCCCCAAAGAAAAGAATCAGTTTGTGAACAATATTGTTATTGAGAAATAAAAATTATACATAAAATGAGTATGTTTTCTATTTCTTCATCACAATTTTTTTTAACAAATTTTCTAATATTTTTTATAAATAAAAAGGAGAAAAATTTGCATAATTTAGATAAGTCAAACGAAATTTGCTATAAAAAAGCAAAATTTATTTGTTAATCATAATTTTTTTTAAAATTTTCTAATTTTAAATATAGTTTATTATAAATCATCACAGCTTTAATTTAAGAAAAGAAACGATTAGAGTATCATCCATATTTTCTTCATATACCAATAAATACAATAATCGAGTTTCTTTTTAGGGTTCCGTACACCTACGGTGTATCGGCGGAACCCTATTGGTGAGACTCTGTTGTCCGTAGCCAAATCGTGTCCCCCCCCCCCTAGCGGCTAAACTATTTGACCTAAAGAGCTCAAATTTGGTCCAGATATGTATTTTCACTCGTAGATTACAGGAAAAATATAGCGAATGTGATTGGACGTGATGGGCATAGCGTTGTCAAGGAAATAACAAGATTTTTGGCCAAAAATGCATAAAAAGTGACCATTCCCCCCCCCTTAACTTCTAAACTATTCGACATGGAGAGCTGAAATTTTGCATGCTGGTGTATTTTTACTCGAATATTACAGGAAAAATATAGAGAACTTGCTATGTATTAATGTCCATAGCGTTGTCAAGGAAAAACTAAAAAAAATTTAAATTTTTTTTTTTTTCTAATTTCTACATTATTTGATGTAATTAACTAAAAATGGGTTTATTAGTCTATTTTTACAGTCTGATCACAAAAAATATATTTAAAAATCTAAAAAAAAAAATTAAAAAAAATTTTTTTTTTAGATTTTTTAACAAAAAAATTTTTTTTACATTTTTTAAAAATTTTTTACAAAACTTTAAAAATAAAACAATAAAAACAGCAACAAATTTTGTTCCTCTACTTATTATTGTTTACAATATTAGATATATACAATACTTAAATTTTTTTATTTATTTTTTTTATCAAATGATATTAATATATTTTTTTAATTGTTTATTTTAATTCTACCAATTACCGATAAATGTTGCAAGTATTGTTTTAATATTTGTGTATGGAACCCGCCATTGCAGTGCGAGTTCAACTCGCACTTGTCCAATTTTTTTTAATTTGTGGTTGGAAAATGTCACTTAAATTCGCAAATTTAAAAAAATAGTAATTTTGTAATTTTGTTTTGAATTTGTTTCGATAATAGAACAATGGATCTTCGAAGAGTACTGCAGACAATTAGAAAGAGAAGAGGAAGAAAGTATGTCTGAGGAAGTTGTCTTCTGTCCAATTTGTCTAAAAACTGCACTGGTCAAAGTAGCTGAATTTATAAACTGCAAAAAATGTGATATTTATTTTCCAACGCTATTAAGTCTCACAGAGTTTAAGGACAAACTTTCTAAAGTAACAGATGACCATATGTTGCACTGCACTAAACCACCAATTTTCACAGTTATGCCTGACAGTTCCGTTGTTGAACTCTTTATATGCTGTGAGACTTGTCATTCCTTTTCACCAGTTTACTAACGATCTTTAGCACTTTAAAGAGAACGAAAATAAATATTAATTGTTACTTAAAAAGATGTTTATTGCTTGAAAAGCAAATTTAAAAAGAATATATTTTTTGTAAGTAAAAAATGACATCACATGTATTCCTTTATATTTTTTAATTAACTTCTTAACAAAATAATAACAATCATGCTAGTAATAAAAAAATGTAGTGTAATTATAAGTTTAGTAAGGATTGGAATTTCAATTTGGTACAAATAAAGTGAGTAACCAAAAGATGCATATTGTACAAAAGAAACATCCCATCTTTGATTCATTTTTGTGTAGTTTACCATTTACACTTATACACATAATAATATTATTTTTAGACATTGAAATTTCCGAGCATTGCACTTTTTTATTTCAATTCATTTGTATAAAGAACTTTTTATCATAACTTTAATACTCGAAAATTTTGTCGACTTTACATTATATACCTAATAATCAAAGTGTATTAAAATGATTTGTACATTATCACATGAAATTTTTTAATAAAACTTCATATTACATAACAATGTTGATGTGTAACATTTCGTATAATTTGTGAGCAGCTCTTTCCCTTGTACGCAACAGGTATTTTTTGAAAAAGCATTTTTTTTAAATTTCTTAAAGATTTCTTAAAGATTTCTTAGAGATTTGATGCAAAAGCATTTTAAAAAAATCAAGGGCTTGAAAACTACTGTCCATGTGTATAACATAACAAGTGGATATTGAAATAGACATTTTTTCCGAAAAAAGTCCTTTTTTCAATGTAAATAACAATTTAAAAATATTTTCACTTTACAAGAAACTAAAATTAAAAATTAGCAAACGATAATTATTTTTCTACTTTCAATACACATCTAAAAAATTGTTAGCCGATCTGTATAAAAATATTCTTCACTCATCAAAAGCCTCATAAAAATCGTTTTTGCTTTATTTTATTTTATGTACAATTTTTCACACGCGAATATCGTCGATATTTCCTGTGGCGAAAAAAGTGGAATGATCTGCCCCAATTTATCATTCGTGATAAGGCAAGTTGTTCAGTATTTTTTCTTGAATCGTAAAGTAAAAATTTTAAATAGTTAAAAAATTGTCTGTTTTTTGATTAAAAAGAAAAATTTTCCACCATTTTTCAATGAATTATAATTTATATTATAAAGTAAAGAAAAATTGAATTACATTTTGTTTCTAATGAATATATGAGTAATGTACGAGATCACTATTTTTGTGCATAATTGAAACTATTTCAGGGCTCGGATCGACTTTAAGACTCAAAAAAAGTCGCTTTAGTCGCATAAATTCACAACAAAAGTCATGAAAAGTCGCATAAAATTTGCAAAAAAGTCGAAAAAAAGTCGCATGGAATTTTAGAAAAAACGACAAAAAGGAAACAAGAAATTCTCAAAATTGTAAAAAAATCACATTTCTCGACAACACATATGTACTTTAATATCAAACAGTCCAGAATAAAATTTAATAAAATTCAAAGCAAAATTTTAATTAGGTATTTTTAACATTTTTTTAAAAATTCTCTTAAAAATGTAAAATATTTTTATAAATAATAAAATTCTTCTCCTAAATTCAATTATTTAAACAAAAATTTAATGAAATTTTTGTCAAAATTTCAATTATCTTTATAAATAATAAAATTCTTCTCTGAAATTCAATTATTTCCTTAAGTAATAAAATTCTTCGCAGAAATTCAATTATATTCAAAAATTTTTTTAAAATTCTCGTCAAAATTTTATAAATAGGGGAACATAGTCGAGGTCGGCCTACTTTTTGACTTTTGTTTATAACTTTTTTTTAAAAATGAATTTGGACAATTGAAGTATATGGTTGGAAAGTCCTGTTTAATAGGAACATCTTTTCTGTACAAAGTAAATTGATTGGTTTTAAAATGAAAAAGTTATAAAGATTTAAAAAAAAAAAAATTTTAGTCCAGGTTGGTCCTTACAGTCAAGGTCGGCCATGTTTGAAATTCAAAGGGCATTAATCGTTAAAAAATAAAATAAACTGTTTGGAGTTATGGAAAATTGATTCTTTATTGTTTCCAGCTTGTAACTTAATGAAATAATAAAATAATAAATATAAATAAAAAAAAATTTTGCACTGAAATATTAATAAAATTAAATAAAAATATTAATAAGATGATCAATTATATTATGAGTTATACAGAATTGCAGTTTTTGCAAATGAAGTAGCTCGTCCTCATCTTTGCGCATTTTAAACACATAGTGGCCGACCTTGACAGTAAGTAACATTATCGAATTGTTGTAACCATAAGGAAATACGTTTCGGGATTCGATTTTTCACTTTGATTTTCTTTCAACCATGAGTCCCACAAAATTTCTGCATGCTTGCCTTGACGATTCAATTTTTTTTTTATCTTTTATTAATGATTTTTCACATGATGCACAAAACTTTTTTTGAGCTTTTTTTGTACCGACGTCACAGAAAACACAATTTTCGATTCTCCGAAAATGTAATTAAACAAAAAGTTCGGTTTAACTAAGACAAGCTTCGACAAGTATGCGCGTAGGTGGCGCTAGTGAACTTGACAAAAAAACGCGAGTGGCCTACCTAGACAGTGGTCCAACCTCGACGATACTCCCCTAATAAAATTCATTATGGAAATTTAATTATTTTCAAAAGTTCTGATAAAATTCTAATACAAAATTCAATTATCTTCAAAAGTACGAAAATTCATCGCTGAAATTCAATTATTTTCAAAAAATTATTTTAAATTCTCCTCACAATTTCAATTATCTTTATAAATATCAAAATTCTTCTGCAAAATTCAATTACTTTTAAACATTTTTAAAGAAATCTGTTCAAAATTTCAATTATTTTTATAAACAATAAAATTCTTTTCTGAAATTAAATTATTATTTGTAAAAATAATAATAAAATTCTTGTCAAAATTTCAATTATCTTTATAAACGAAAAGATTCATCCTAGAAATTCTATTATTTTCAATTTTTTTTTAAATTCCTCGTCAGAATTTTATTTATTTTATTCATGAATAATAAAATTCATCCTGGAAATTTAATTATTTTCAAAAGTTCTGATAAAATTTTTTGCAAAATTCAATTATCTTCAAAAGTAAGAAAATTCTTCGCAGAAAATCAATTATTTTCGAAATTTTTTTTAAATTCTCTTCAAAATTTCAACTATCTTTGTAAATATCAAAATTATTCTGCAAAATTCAATTACTTACTAATGTTTTATAAATTTCTTCTCAATAATTGAGGGGCTGGATGCTATAATGTGTTACGCGACATGTTAAGTGAATAGCGCGTAACACATTATAGCATCCTGCCCCTCAATTCATTTATTTTCATAAAAAATAATCAAAATTTTTTATAAAGTCTTATAATATAAAATAATGATTTTATCACTCGGTCATATCTTTAATTGTAATAAAACATGAAGACATCGATTCCTCCGAGTCAAAAAGGTTTGAATTTGAATCTTTTGAAGAATTTTATTTCCTATGGAAAAATAATAATTAAATATTTATTTAAAAAAGAAGTTATTGACGTTTTCGAAAAATTTGAAAGAAATTTGTAAATAAATGTAACAGATCATTTTTTTGACTAAAAGTTTTTCCTTCAATTTTCTAAAAATTTTAAAAGTTTCACTTTCTAATTGACAAATAGAATTTATAAACATTTTTTTTCATTAATTTTTAAAAAACTTTAAATTTTATTAAAGCAATTGTAATTAAGAAATGGAAATAATGCAAATTATTGTTTCCTTATGAAAATTGAGAATTTCCTACAAAAATATTAAGAAACGAGAGAATATGTTATTTTTTTCCCTAAAGAGAAGAATGATTTTGTGAGCAATATTGTTTACAAACAAAGATTTCTGCCATTTACAATTTAAGTCGAAAAGTAATTGAAAAATTTGAAAAAAGTCGATTAGTCGCATTTTACTAAAAAAAATCTCGAAAAAGTCGATTAGTCGCACAATCCGAGCCCTGCTATTTCTTTTTCAACACGATATTTGAAAAATAAAATTTCTGTATTGTCTATAAATTCCATTTAATTTATATTGAAAATTATTAACAAATGCGAATATTTGTAAAGAATAATAAATGTACAATTTATTAGTTTACAAAACTAATGTTATGTACTTCATATTGTTTTGAACTCTTGTGCGGAAAAAAAACTCCTGTGGCTTTTTTTCCTATTTTCAGATACACTTAGAGTATACATTTTTTTTCAATGTGATATTGAAAAACTTTAATTGAGTTCCAATATGAAAGAATATTTTTTTAATCCTGAGGAGATATTTATTAACTTGCTTTTCACAAGTGATTACACTCAGCATATCGGGATTCACTTTCGATCGACAGCTGCACGTGCTTCTTGGGGTAACCGGGCTGGGTCCGAGAGAATTTCCGTTGCCGTGCAGAGATACCTCAACGAATTGAGAACGGCTGAAATTTAATATTGCAAATAATTATTAAATTTTTTGTATTCAAATTTTTATTGTATTTTTTAAATATTAAATAATTTCTAATTTGTATAACACTTTGCGACAGTTCAGTGCAAAATTACATTTAATAGGACCTACGCTAACTTGATCATCTTGAAAAAAAAAGAAATTGTATGCATTAAATCACTCAAACACCTCCAATTTTAGAGTTATTATAATTTATTTATAGTTAATGCATAAAATAGACTGTAATTTCCGTTCCAAATTATTGAATTTGAAGATAAATTTGACAGAAACAAACCTGGTCTGAGATCAACAAGCGAGCAATGTTGCTCAACCCACACAATCGTGCTTCTGTACAAGTCATCGATACTCGCCGTGGATACAGAAGTGGTAAAGGAAGTCATCAAAGGTTCCAATAAGATGCTAAACTGATTATTTGGTTAAGGAAGAAAACTCGAACTATGTTACTTTCATTTTTTTTTTACAAAATCTAGTATCTAAGAAATAAACCAAATTTAATTATGTTTGGCCCAAAATGAAGATTAATGAGTGCATAAAGGAGAAAATTATTCAGAGACCATTCTTAATTTAAAATTTTTAACTTAAATTAAAGTTACTTATTCGTTTAAATATTAATTAAAATTTTCTTCGGATTGTAAATAATCAATGTCTTGATGAGAAAAAATAATTATTTAGAAAAGGATACAATCCAAAATTTCCAATTTTCTCTTGTCCGTGTACGTACATATTCGTCAAACATCTCCTTCATCTTGCTTGTTCTGTGTCTCGACACTGGCGCTCCTGTTGCCGGAAGCATTGATTGACAATTACTGTAAAAAGTTTTCAAAAATACATGGTGTTAAGTATTTCAAGTTTTAATATTAGTAATCTTTGTTAGAAAAAAAACATTTATAAAATCGAACCTAATTGACATATTAAGGCGTTCAATTTGACTTCTCAGATTGTCCATTTCCTCCTTGAGTTGGTTTCTTTCGGTTCTAAGTTGCCTGATGTAATCAGCTCCCTTCTGCAGCATAGCGGCTTTACTTGATTTTGCATTTGGATTTTGATTGAGTTGCGGTATTAAACTCTGAAGCATGTCGAAACCATTCTTAATATTGTATCTGCGCTTCTGCTCGGCATGAATGTGGCCGACTCTTTTGTGTTCCTTGTAGTGTCCTCGCTCAGAATCGCCTTTTATATAACCACGCGAAGGAGACAGCGGACTGCCTAAACTGACGGGACTATTTAATGGGCTTAAACTAAGAGCCTGAGGACTGGAACCGTCTTTCGGTGAACTAGGACTCCCCTGCGATTGATGAGATTGCTTGTTTGAATTTAACAGAACTTGCTGACCACTTACAGTTTGTTGCATTGTCTGGAAAAACAATATATTCTTTAACAATCCATTTCAAGACAGAAATTACTTTATATATATTTTCTTGAGTTTTTAAGGAGGTTTAAAAAAACGGTTTTACTACTTCAGGGTTGACACAAAAATTGAATTTTCTTTTTCCCTGACTTTTCTCTGATTTCCAGACAAAATTTTCACTTTTTCCCTGACGAAGAAAAAATATTCTGATTTACTCTAAAAATTATTGGATACTCAAACAAGGTTGCTACAGGTCAGGGAAGTCAGGGAATTCAGGGAAAGTAAAATTGGTCAGGGAAATCAGGGAAAAGTCAGAGATTTTTAGTAAAAGTACTGGAAAAATAAATTGAATTTTTGAAAATTCATGAGAAAACTCTGAATTTTGATGTTTTTTTGTTTGCCTCGTAAACTATGAAATTACCACGAATTTTAATACAAAACCAAAAATTAAACCAAACCAATTTAATCAATTTAAATTTTTTATCAATTTTTATCAATTTAATTTTTTTTATTTAATTTAATTTTTTTTTTAATCAATTTTACCAATTTTATCTATTTCTGAAAATAATTTCTTTTTAAATAACTTAATTTTTCAAAAAGTATCATAAAATTATGACTTATAAATTATTTAATGAATAACTTTTACAATCTTCATAAATACTAGATTGATAGAAGAATTTTAGTTCAAAATACTAAAAAAAAATTTAATTTTCGAAGAGTTACAAATGATTCCAGAAATTCAAATTACTTTCAAAAATTATAAAAATTCATCGCAGAATTTCAATTATGTTCAAAAATTAAAAAAAATTCTCGTCAAAATTTCAATTATCTTTATAAATAATAAAATTCTTCATCGAAATTCAATTATTTTTAAAAATTTTAATAAATTTCTTGACAAAATTTCACAAGAATTCAATTATTTACAAAATTTTTAATAAATTTCTTCGAAAAAATTCAATTATTTTCATAAGCAATAAAATTTTCACAGGAATTCAATTATTTAAAATACAAAAAGTCATAAAATTTTTCGAAAAATATCAATTATTTAAAAAGATTTTTACAAAATTTGTCGCAAGAATTCAATTATTTTAAAAAAATTGAACAAAGTTCTTTTCAAGAATTCAATTATTTTTATAACTAATAAAATTCTTCACCGAAATTCAACAATTTTTATAAACTTAAATAAAATTCTAAAAAGGATTAAATTATTTTCAAAAGTAATAAAATTCTTCGCAGAAATTAAATTAAGTTTAAAAATTAAAAAAAAAATTTTGTCAAAATTTCAAATATCTTTATAAATAATAAAATTTTTCATTAAAATTCAATTATTTTTATAACTTTTAATAAAATTCTTGTCCAAATTTCACAGGAATTTAATTATTTACAAAATTTTAAATAAATTTCTTTGAAATAATTCAATTATTTTCATAAATAATAAATAAATTTCTTTGAAATAATTCAATTATTTTCATAAATAATAAATTTTTCATAGGAATTCAATTATTAAAAATAAAACATTTCATAAAATTTTTCGAAAAATATAAATTTTTAAAAAAGATTTTTATAAAATTCGTCGCAAGAATTGAATTATTTAAAAAAATTTAACACAATTCTTTGCAAGAATTCAATTATTTTTATAAATAATAAAATTCTTTTCCTAAATCCAATTATTTTAGAAAAATTTTAATAAAATTGTTGGGATAATTTTAATTAATTTCATGAATAATAAAACTCATCGCAGGATTTTAATTATTTTTGATACAATATTTTAATCGAATTTCCCGAAAAATGTAATTATTCTGAAAAACGTTATTAAAATTTGTTTTGACAAATTTTAATAATCATTCAATTATTTAATAAATTATTTATTTTTTAATTTTAATAATTGAATTCTTCTAGAGTTTTCTAATAAAAATTGATTTAAAAATGAATTACCGAATAATCGATTTATTATTTATGAAAATAATTGAATTATTGCAACGAATTTTATTACATTTTTTTTAAATAATTGCATTTTTTTGAGAAATTTTACTACTTGTAAAAATAATTAAATTCTTGCGAAGGATTTTGTTAGGATTTTTGTAAATAATCAACTTTTTTTTGAAAAATTTTATGGTAATTTAAATTATTATAAGTTGTTGAATTTCATAAAGGTTTGAATTTGAATGTTTTGAAAAATTTTAAAGAAAGTTAAAAGTAAAAAAGAAGTTATTGATTTTTTTTTTAATAATTTGACAATTCAAGAAATTTGTTAATATGTAATAAAATATTTGTGGCAACCCTGTCAAAAAATATCCCTTTAAATTTATTTATGAATTTCTCTAATTGCAAAATTATTTGAAAACATCAATAACTTCTTTTTTAAATAAATATTTAATCATTATTATTTTTCTATAGGAATTAAGATTCTCAAATACAAACCTTCTGAAATGCAATAACTTATGAGAATATTATGATAAATTTTATAATAAATTTAAGATGACAGAGTGATAAAATCATTATTTTATATCATAAGAATATTGTAACTATAAATTCAGATTTTCAAAGATTTTAATTTTGAACCCGTTTCAAAATTCAATTATTTCAAAAAATTCACGCTATTATGCTCTTAATATTCAAATTGTAACTTAAAATTTTAAGTAAAATTCATTATTTCATCAATTTTTATTAGAAAATTTTTCGAGAATTCAATTATTTAAATACAAAAATAAATAGTTTATTCAATAATTGAATATTTCTTAAAATTTAATTTTTATGAAGAATTTTATCAACATTTTTAAAAATAAATAAATTCTTTCGGCAAATTTAAAAAAAATTTTAATAAATGCAATTTTCTATCATTTTATTTAAAATTGTATAAAAAATAATTGAAATTCTGCCATAAGCTTTTGTTATTTATGAAAATAATTGAATTCTTGCAACGAATTTTATGAAAAAAATTTTTAAAGAATTGATTTCCTGTGAAGAATTTTATTTTTGAAAATAATTGAATTCCAGAGAAAAATATTATTATTTATGAAAATAATTCATTTCTTGTGAATAATTTTATTCAAATGTTTTTCAATAATAATTGAACTTCTCAGAATTTTTTAAAACTTTTTCAAAAAAATTAAATTCTATCGAGAAATTTTATTAAAAAATAGAAAATAATTGAAATCTAACGAAGGATTTTATTAAGTTTTTTTTTAAATAATTGAATTCCTGTGAAAATGTTTATTTTTGAAAAGAATTGAATTCTTGGGAAAAATTTTATTAAAATTTCTTAAATAATTGAATTGCTTCAAAGAATTTTATTTTTTACGAAAATAATTGAATTGTTTGGAAGATTTTTACAAGTAATTTTGACAATAATTGTATTCCAAGGAAGAATGTTATATTTTACGAAAATAATTGATTTCTTGTGAAGAATTTTATTCAAATTTTTTTAAATAATTGAATACGCATAAAAAAATGTATTATTTGTGAAAATAATTGAATTTTTAAGAAGAATTACATTGAAAATTTTATTAACTAAAGCTTGTAAAGAATTTTGTTAAAATTTTTTTAAATAACAGAATTTTTAAAAGAATTTTATTTAAATTTTTCGAAATAATTGAATTTTTCAGAAATATTTTTTTTTAATTCTCTGAATATATTTGAATTTTTTTCGATAAATTTCATTAAAAAATTAAATTAATTGAATTGGTTGGAAGAAATTTATAAAAAATTGGTAAGTAATTGAATTCCTGTGAAATTTTTATTAAAATTTTGTTTAAATAATTGAATTCTTTTGGAAAATGTTATTAAAATACTAGATATTTGAAATAATTGAAACAATTTCGAAATAATAATTTTATGATAGTTCTTGAAAAATTAAGTTATTTAAAAATAAATTATTGTCAGAAATAGAAAAAATTGAAGGTTTCGTATTAGAATTCTTGGCTATTTCATAATTTATGAGGCAAACAAAAAAGAGACCAAAATTCAGAATTTTATTTTCTTATGAATTCTAAAAATTTAATTTTTTCCAGTACTTTGTCTGACTTTTCCTTGAAACCCCTGTCTCAGAATTTATGATTATTGTGGTTATAATAGTAATAATCCATATTAAAATTCATATTTTATTTTTATGAAAACAAATTTGAATTAAAACTTTTTAAATTCTAATATTTTTTAAATTGCTAATTTTATTTAAAAAAGTATGTAAGAACAGGATTGCCACAAATATTTAATTTTATTTTTCTCTGACTTTTCCCTGATTTTCAGACAAAATTTCCACTTTTTCCCTGACCCTAAAGAATATTCTGATTCACTCTAAAAATTATTAGATATACTCAAAAAAATGTTCTATTACATATTTACAAATTTCTTGAATTGTCAAATTATTAAAAAAAAATCAATAACTTCTTTTTTACCTGAATAAATATTTAATCATTATTATTCTTCTATAGGAATTAAAATTTTTCAAAACATTCAAATTCAAACCTTTATGAAATTCAACAACTTATAATAATTTAAATAACCATAAAATTTTTCAAAAAAGTTGATTATTTACAAAAATCCTAATAAAATGCTTCGCAAGAATCTAATTATTTTTACAAGTAGTAAAATTTCTCAAAAAAATGCAATTATTTAAAAAAAATTGAATAAAATTAGTTGCAATAATTTAACTATTTTCATAAATAATAAATCGATTATTCGGTAATTCATTTTTAAATCAATTTTTATTAGAAAATTCTAGAAGAATTCAATTATTAAAATTAAAAAATAAATAATTTATTAAATAATTGAATGTTTGTTAAAATTTGTCAAAACAAATTTTAATAACATTTTTCAGAATAATTACATTTTTCGGGAAATTCGATTAAAATATTGTATCAAAAATAATTAAAATCCTGCGATGAGTTTTATTATTCATGAAATTAATTAAAATTATCCCAACAATTTTATTAAAATTTTTCTAAAATAATTGGATTTAGGAAAAGAATTTTATTATTTATAAAAATAATTGAATTCTTGCAAAGAATTTTTTTTTATCATAATTGAATTTCTGCGAACAATTTTATTATTTTTAAAAATAATTGAATTCTTGAAAAGAACTATGTTAAATTTTTTTAAATAATTCAATTCTTGCGACGAATTTTATAAAAATCTTTTTAAATACCTAATTAATATCTTTCGAAAAATTTTATGAAATTTTGTATTTTGAATAATTGAATTCCTGTGAAAATTTTATTGCTTATGAAAATAATTGAATTTTTTTGAAGAAATTTATTAAAAATTTTGTAAATAATTGAATACCTGTCAAATTTTTCCAAGAATTTTATTAAAATTCATAAAAATAATTGATTTTGATGAAGAATTTTATTATTTATTATAAAGATATTTGAAATGTTGACAAAAATTTTTTTTTAAATTTTTAAATATAATTTAATTTTTGCGAAGAATTTTATTACTTTTGAAAATAATTTAATTCTTTCTACAATTTTATTCAAGTTTATAAAAGTTATTGAATTTCGGTGAAGAATTTTATTATTTATAAAAATAATTGAATTCTTGAAAAGAACTTTGTTCAATTTTTTTTTAAATAATTGAATTCTTGCGACGAATTTTATAAAAATCTTTTTAAATAATTGATATCTTTCGAAAAATTTTATGAAATTTTGTATTTTAAATAATTGAATTCCTGTGAAAATTTTATTGCTTATGAAAATAATTGAATTTTTTTGAAGAAATTTATTAAAAATTTTGTAAATAATTGAATTCCTGTGACATTTTGCCAAGAATTTTATTAAAATTTTTAAAAATAATTGAATTTCGATGAAGAATTTTATTATTTATAAAGATAATTGAAATTTTGACTAGAATTTTTTTAAAATTTTTGAACATAATTGAAATTCTGCGAAGAATTTTTATAATTTTTGAAAATAATTTTAATTTTTGAAATGATTTGTAACTTTTCGAAAATTAAATTTTTTTTAGTATTTTGAACTAAAATTCTTCTATCAATCTAGTATTGTAAAAGTTATTTATTAAATAATTTCTAAGTCATAATGTTATGATACTTTTTGAAAAATAAATTATTGTCACAAATAGAAAAAATTGAAGGTTTTGTATTAAAATTCGTGGTAATTTCATAGTTTACGAGGCAAACAAAGAAACATCAAAATTCAGAGTTTTCTCTTGAATTTTCAAAAATTCAATTTATTTTTCCAGTACTTTTAATAAAAATCCCTAACTTTTCCCTGACCAATTTTACTATCCCTGACTTTTCCCTGAATTCCCTGACTTCCCTGACCTGTGGCAACCCTGAAGAAGTTAACAGTGTAAGAAAGATTCTTCCTTAATGGAATAAGATTTTTTGAAAAGCGATAACGCTTGAATATTTCTATTGAATGAAGAATAGACTATAAATTACCTGTTGTTGTACTTGAGACGGTACTGTGGGTGCAGAATGCATTGACTGAATTGTATTGGGAGTTGTAATGTGATGATTGTTGCTGGCAACAGACGGGGAAGAGGAAGAAGGTGGAGATGAGGAGGAACTTGTGGCAGAAGTAGAAGAGGAAGAAGTTGATGAAGGTGAAGAACTGGATGGTGGCAGCATTGGTAAAATGTGCTTTATCCCACTTGATTGACTTGCTCCACGTGCAATTTTATCATTGCCAGTATTGACTGCGTATAGGCCAGGAGTATCTGAAAAAGGATCATTTCAGTTTTCAGCAACACTGATTTTTGACAATTTTAAATGTTTATTTTTTCCTTAAAAAACTTACTGTTTGTGAGTAAATGTGCCAGAAGGACATTGTTATTGACATTGAGAGCTGGATCACTCTGAGCAGAAACTAAAGGCGGCGGATGAACTCTCGCGCGAGGCAGAGACGAACTACTTCGAGACCTACTTCGAACTTTAATCTGATTGTACTGAAACAAATAAAAAGCACTTTTTTATTATTTATGAAAATAATTGAATTCCTAAAAATAATTTTATTATTTACGAAAATAATTGAATCCCAGTAAAAATTTTTGTTATGAATTTATGCGAAGAAATTTATAAAAAAATTTGTAAATAATGAAATTCTTGTGAAATTTTTATTATTTTTTGAAAATAATTAAAAGTTTGTGTAGAAATTTATTAAATTTTTTTTTTAAATAAGTGAATTCTTTTTGAAAATTAATTTTATTTTTCCCTTATTTCCATACTAAATTTTGACTTTTTCCCTGACCCTAAAGAATATTCTGATTCACTCTAAAAATTATTAGATAATCAAAGAAAACATTATATTACATTTACTTACACATTTCTTTAATTGTAAAATTATTCGCAAACATCAATAACTTCAGTTTTAAATAAGTACATATTTAATAATTATTTTTCCATAGGAATTGAAATTCTTCAAAACATTCACATTCAAACATTTTTAAAATTCAACAACTTATAAGAATATTATTTTATAAACATTATTAAAAATCAACAACTTATAAGAATATTATTTTATGAAATTTTTTATTTTTATAAGAGTCGAATTTTTCTCCGAGTCGATGACTCGGAGTAATTCATATATTCATGTTTTATAAAAATTTAGATTTCCAGAAAGTTTTTCAAAAAAAAATTAAATTATTCACAAAAATTATAATAAAATTCGTTGAAAGAATTCAATTATTTTCATAAATAATAAAATTCTTCACGGGGTATCAATTATTTTTAATACAATTTTAAATAAATTTCTCGAAAAATAAAATTATCTTCAAAAATTTTTTGCAAGAATTAAATATTTTTAAAATCTACTATTTTAATAAAAGTTCTCAATTCAATTATTAAAAAAAAATGTAATGAAATTCATTTCAGGAATTCAATTATTTTCATAAATAATAAAATTCTCTACATTATTTCAATTATTTAAAAAAAATTGATACGTATGTTACGTAAACAGAGTAATTGGAACTTACGTAACTAATCAAACTTGCGTAACTTACGTAACTAATCAAATTTACCTAATTTACGTAACTAATCAAACTTGCGTAAGTTACGTAACTACAACAAATCACGAAAGTTACTTAATTAATGAAACTTACGTAAGTAATGTAATTACAACAAATTACGTAAGTTACGTAACTACAAAAAATTACGTAAAGTTAATCTAGTTATGTAACTTACGTAAGTTCTATTAATTACGTAAGTTTGGTTAATTACATAACTCTAGTTGCGTAACATATGTAAGTTACTCTAGTTACGTAATTTTAGTCTTATTATGTAACTTATATTAATTACGTAAGTTGCTCGAGTTACGTAATTCAAGGGAAACAATTTTTCTGTGATTGAAACTAAATAATAATGTTTTCCAATTATTTGTTTCGAGTCGACACGAAACTAAACTTTCGAGACGGTCCCTGATAAAAATCCCTGACCTGTGACAACCTTGAATTGTAATTTAACCCTTTAACGCACAAATGTGCTAATTTTTAACTTTGGTTTCAAGCTCATAATATTAAAAGGAAAAAATTAATAAAAATTCTACAAGGACATATCCATACGTTTTTAGGGTCGCTCTTTCGAATGGCATGGTCAAAATTTCCAAAAAGTGACGATTAACCCTTATTTTTTTAAAAATACTCAAAAAATACAAGATCATATCGATTTTTCCAAATCATCTAAGGTACCTATAAAAAACGTATTCCCGATAGTTTTAGTTTGAAAATATGCTTTGCGTTTTAAGATTTTTGATATTTTTTGATTCAAAATGGCGCCTGAAAATAAACAATTTTCCAAAATTTAACACAGGATGGATACAATTTTTAAAAGTTCATGAAATAGATTGAAATTTGTTACTCGGGGGTACTCGGGGTCGCTGATTACGAATCTGAAGTCCGATTTTAAAAATTCAAAATGTCAGATCACTTAGGTACCAATTTGTCGAAAACCACTGAACAGATGTGGTTTTTTTAAAAATACTTGTACATTAATGGACTGTAATCTGGTCTTTCGGTTGTACAAATAAATTAGTTTGTTTAACCCTTTAACGCCCAAATGTGCTGTTTTCCGACTTGAACTTTAACTTCGTACAACTATTAAAATAAAGCTAAAAAAATTTCAGAAGTACCATTTCCAACTATTTTCGGGGTTGCTCTATCGAATGGCGTTGTCAAAATTTCCAAAAAATGAAATTAACCCCCTCTTTTAATGAAATTTTCCAAAAAATGCAAGATTTTTGGATGAAATTTTTTTTTTTATTGCAATTTTCATTGATATGTCGGTATCTTCATATCGTCTAAGGTATAAAAACCGTATTCCCGATAGCTGCACTTTAAAAATATGCAGTAGTTTTTTTTTCTTTTTTTCATTTTTCATTGAAAAATGGCGCCCGAACGCAAATTTTTTTTTTTATTACACATACAAATTTTTTTTCTAAATTTGCTTAAATTCGCTTGAAATTTGTTAATCAGGGGTTTATGAGGTCGCTAATTACGAATCTGATGTTAGTTTTGAAAAATTCAAAATGGCGGATTCAATATGGCGGACGATTTTTTAAAAATTTACCAAATTCACCTCAAACTTGTTACTCGGGGGTTTTCAGGGTCGCTGATTACGAATATGATGTTAGTTTTTAAAAATCCAAAATTTCGGATCTAATATGTCGGACAAAAAAAATAAAAATCATCCGGATTGGTTTGAAAATTGTTAATTGGGTCAATTTTGGAATTTACTTATACTCAATTAATAATAATGTCAATCTTGAAACATTACTTTCATAAAACTTAGTTTAATTACTTATTGAATTTTAAAGTGGGGACCTTTTTTCATCATTAAACTTAGTTTGAGGTTGTATTCTGTCACGTCCCGAGCTAAGGCAAGGGTAATTTTATTAAGCGAATAATAAAAGGGAGGTAAAGTGCTGATTTGATTTTACACATTGAGGGTTAAATTAAAAAAAGTTTTATCTCGGAATGTAACATCTACCAAAACTTATTCTAAGTACTGGTCACCTTCAGTTACTAAGGACAAATGTTTTTTATTATTTGAATATCTGTTGCATATTAGATCCGAAATTTTGGATTTTTAAAAACTAACATCATATTCGTAATCAGCGACCCCAAAAACCCCCGAGTACCAATTTTTAAGCCAATCTGAATGATTTTTGTTTTATTGGTCGCCATTTTGGATCCGCCATTTTGGACTTTTGAAAAACTAACTAACATCATATTCGTAATCAGCGACTCCGAAAACCCACCGATAAACACATTTGAAGCCAATAACTGAAGTTTTAATATTGTCGTCCGCCATATTGGATCCGCCATTTTGAATTTTTTAAATTTGACTTTAGATTCGTAATCAGCGACCCCAAAAACGCACGAGTAACAAATTTCAATCGATTTCATGAACTTTTGAAAATTGTATCCATCCTGTGTTAAATTTTGGAAAATTGTTTATTTTCAGGCGCCATTTTGAATCAAAAAATATCAAAAATCTTAAAACGCAAAGCATATTTTCAAACTAAAACTATCGGGAATACGTTTTTTATAGGTACCTTAGATGTTTTGGAAAAATCGATGTGATCTTCTATTTTTGGAGTATTTTTGAAAAAATAAGGGTTAATCGTCACTTTTTGGAAATTTTGACCATGCCATTCGAAAGAGCGACCCTAAAAACGTATGGATATGTCCTTGTAGAATTTTTAATAATTTTTTCCTTTTAATATTATGCTGAGCTTGAAACCGAAGTTAAAAATCAGCACATTTGTGCGTTAAAGGGTTAAGTTCGAGAATGCTTATTTCCACTAGAGTGTAAAAATAAATGATAAACTATAAAAGAAACCTTTGGTACTGCGAAAACCTCTTCCTTATCCGCCACAGATGTAAACGGTCTTGGTAAAAGTTTCGTGGGATGCGAGGCTGACTGAGTTAGATCAAGTCCTGGTGATTTACACTGCAACAGTATGTGTGGCTGTATTGGTTGTTGATTCGAAACTGTGACTACCAGCTGAGCTGGCACTGTCTGCAAGTGGAATACATTGAGAAATTGCCGAATTTTTATAAGAATCATAAGAATGATGAACTCACCTTAAAATTACTTGTGTTAAATTTGCACTGTTGACTATTGAATTCTTGCTTGGGCGATGTGAACTTGTAACCCTGTTGTACTTGCTGTACGACCTTGTAAGGCTTGAGCATTGGTTGCGAGACGGGTTCTGCTTTAATAATAATCGGCTGCGACTGAGGCGAATTGGTTGGCGTGTATGTGTGAGAACCCACCAAGTTCTGAACGTGCCTTATCGAGGGCAATTTATTTGTATTTAATGAATTATCATTCAAACTGGTCAATTGAATTTGACTTGATCCGGAATTGAGTTGCAGTGGCTGAACATCCATTGTGTACGTTTGTTGAGATGGTTGATAGGATAAATTTGGCTGCTGATAGGTATTTTGTTGATGTATAATTCGATTAGGCCTTGATATCGATCTCTCTGCATTGCTTTTCTCCCTCACAAGTTGATTATTCACCTGCGACTCGTAGTTTTGCGATACAGAATTGAAATTGTCGCTCAAGTTCCTGGTGGTAAAAAAGAAAGAGTTTAAGTTTAGACAAATAATCTGTAACTAAAATTTTCTTTTAAAAGGTCTTGTTAAAATCTTCCTCGGGTTGCCACGCTTTTCCAGGTTAAAAAAAAATTGGTCAAGTGCGAGTTGTACTCGCACTGCAATGGCGGATTCCGTACACAAATATTAAAACAATACTTGCAACATTGATCGGTAATTGGTAGAATTAAAATAAACAATTAAAAAAATATATTCAAATCATTTGATAAAAAAGAATAACTAAAAAAATTAAAGTATTGTATACCATCTAATATTGTAAACAATACTTTAATTTTTTTTAGTTATTTTTTTATCAAATGATTTTAATATATTTTTTTGATTGTTTATTTTAATTCTACCAATTACCGATAAATGTTGCAAGTATTGTTTAAATATTTGTGTACGGAACCCGCCATTGCAGTGCGAGTACAACTCGCACTTGTCCAATTTTTTTTATTTTTAGTTAAGAAATTAAAGTTTTTTTTATTTTTTTTTAAAAGTTTCTTAAATAAATTTTTTGTCGTCAGACTGTAATAATACACTAGGATACCAATTTCCAGCTCATTAGGTCAAATAATGTAAAAGTTAGGGAAAACAAATTTTTTTTTTGAAATTTTTTAGTTTTTCCTTGACAACGCTATGGCCATCATTACATATCAAGTTCTCTATATTTTTCCTGTAATATTCGAGTAAAAATACACCAGCATGCAAAATTTCAGCTCTCCATGTTGAATAGTTTAGAAGTTAAGGGGGGGGGGGGGATGGTCACTTTTTATGCATTTTTGGCCAAAAATCTTGTTATTTCCTTGACAACGCTATGACCATCACGTCTAATCACATTCGCTATATTTTTCCTGTAATCTACGAGTGAAAATACATATCTGGACCAAATTTGAGCTCTTTAGGTCAAATAGTTTAGCCGCTAGGGGGGGGGGGACACGATTTGGCTACGGACACAAGAGTCTCACCAATAGGGTTCCGCCGATACACCGTAGGTGTACGGAACCCTAAAAACAGAATTTTTACAGATTTTTAAAACGAAAATTATTCGAAAATATCAATAACTTATTTTAAATAAATATTTAGTCATTATTATTTTTTCACAGAAATTAAGATTTTCAAAAATTTCAAATTCAATAGCATATAAGAATATTATTATAAAACTTGCTACTTTGTTACTGTAACTTCTTGAAAATCTATTTTCATCATTAAGATTAATCATTTCTAGAATTTTCAACTAAAATTCTTCTTTAAGTCAATTTTTTAAAATAATTTTTTGAAAAAGTTCTTTGAAAATTTTCAAATTCTTTTGTTTACTATTTAATTTTACGAAATTTCGATTATTCTGACAATTAAATATATGAGAAAATAAAAACTTCAAATAATTTCAAAAAAAATTCACTTAATCTTCTTCAAAAATATTAATTCTACAGAAATGTTAGTTAAAAGTATGAAAACTTCAAATCAAAGATTTTAATTTGAAACCTTTTGAAAATTCAATTATTTCTAAAAATCCACGCTATAATGCTTTCAATATTCAATTATAATCTAAAATTTTAACTGAAATTCATTTTTAAATAAATATTTATTAGAAAATTCTACGAGAACGTCGCATTCAATTTATTATTATTATGCAAAATACAAAATTTTTTATTTTCAAATATAAATTTTTCAATAATTTCATAATCATAATTTAAAAAATTCACTTAGGTACAAAATTAATTATTATTATTTAAATTTTTAAAAATTTGAATACAATTCTTAGGAAGAATTCAATTATTTTCATAAATAATAACATTCTGAGGATAAAAAACAGTTATTTTTATAAATAATAAAATTTTTTGCTAAAATTCAATTATTTTCAACAAAATTCTAATAAATCCTTCAAAACAATAAAATTTCACGAAAGAATTCAATATTTTCTTAATTCGTTATAAAATTTTCCAAAAGAATTCAATTATTTTCTAAAATTACAATAAAATTCTTGCTAAATATTCAATTATTTTTAATGCAATTTTAACTAAATTCCTATAAAGAATTTAACTAATTTCCGAAGAATTTTAGTTATTAAAATTTTTTTAAAATCTAAGTTTTTTATAATTTCTGTAATTAAATTAATTTAAAATTGAAATTTTACAAAATTTCAAATAAAAATCTTTTGATGTTCATCTACCTAAGCAATTTGTAAACGCAATTCTTTTAAAATTGAATTAATTTTGAAATATTTAAGTAAAATTAGATTTCAAGAATAAACACAATAACTTTAGAAAACAAGAATTTTCCAGGATTTCGATGGAAATTCCTTGACTTTTCCAGATTTTTTCAAGGTTTATAAAATTCTTTGACATTTACAGGTTTTCCAGGTTGCGTGGCAACCCTGCTTTCAAACGTGGAAGTAGTTACATTGAGAAGAACAAAACTGTTTATTTTTAAAAATTAAATTCAAGAAAGAAAATGTATAATTACATGTTATTTCTGAACACATTGATTGATTCCTGTTGTGACTGGGTATAAATCTTGGCAGTATATTGCAGATTTTGCAAACTCGTGTTTTGTTCATTTTGCGAGTGAGATTGTTCTGTCTGCTGACTGATGAGTGTTGAATCCTGGCTGATGTCGTTTACTTGATTCATAGGATTCATTAGATCCAGTTCTGGATAGTTATTGGATAATGCTCCACTGTAGTCCTCTTCGGGCACAGGGGCCAGTTTTGAATTCAAGAATTCTTTAAAAGACAATAATAATAAGATTTGTAAACTTTCTTGTGAAAAACGATAAATATAAAAGAATATTCACCTTGGAGTGGTTCAAGAGTATCCATAAAGTCGTCAAGATTAGGTTGAAGTGGTCCAAGACTGGGCTGAATAAAATCAGCTAAACTGGCTCCACGAGCTGAAAAATTTTACAGAACTAGTTTAAATAACAATCAAAAAAGGAAATATTAGTTTTTTCAAGTTTGGAATAAATATGAGGCAAGATGCCTTTAATAATCGTTGTATTCCGGTAATCTGTTCGCAGTTTGAAGTTAGTTGTTGTTTGCTTTTTTGTTTCCTAACTTTTTAAAATAATTTCTCTTTTTAAATGTTTAAGATTTTTAAATTAATGTACTGAAAAGCATACTATACATTCTTGTATAGTATTTATAAAAAATTTAAACATAATTGAATTAATTTCAAGAACTTTATCAAAATTGTTTTCAATAATTGAATTCTTTCGGGAAAATGTAATTAAAATTGTATTAAAAATAATTTAATTGTTTTTAAGTATTTATTTCAATATTCTTGAAAATAGTGGAGCTTTTTAAAATAATTTTTACTGAAAATTTTTAAAGTAGGGGAGATTTGAGAATTGTGGGCCACCTCCATTATTTAATAATATTTACAAGTTCGATCATCCAATTTTTTTTTTATTTTCTTTTGTTCGTCCAAAGTAAATTTCATGACTTTACAACTCTTTACAATTACCTACAAACCGTTAACAAAAATCACCTGAAAAATTGCATTCAAATATTTATTTTGGGCCTTCATGTTTTTATTGTTTTTACAAGGATTTTCAAGAATTAATTATGGAAAATATTTTTTTAATTATTGTGTGTCATTGGTATTTTGACTCCAAAAAGAAATTTTGCATTAAATTAAAATGTATAAATAATACAAAGCTTTTTGTAAAATGAAGCATTTGGGGAATTGTGGGACACGTTTATGGAGAAAGTATTTGGTGCTTGTTTTTAGCGATTTAATTGCAAAATTATTATTAAAATCACTAATAGTTATAGTAATTATTTTAACAAAAACAATTATATTCATTGCGATTTAATCGATATAGCTGTTCACTTATAGAATATGTAATTAATTGAGCTTATTTTACTTGTCTAAATTGTGATTCCGATTAATTTCATTTTCTTACTTTTTCTTTTCTAATTTTAAACTAATAATTCAACATTTATAACATTTTTAATATTTCTAACCATTAAATAAATATACTTCATCGTTATTTTTGATTTTGAACACAATTTAGGCAGTGGCCCACAATTCCCCAACATTTTTAAAAATCATACAAGTGCACTCTTTGGTAAAACTGAAATTTCTTTTAGTTAAGTGATAATTTTGGCAAACTGACTATGATATATATATGACAGATTAGACTTCCTACTGACACAAAAAATTTTTAAATTTAAAAAAAAAATTTTTGTGTGTAAGATATTGAGCTAAGAAAAAGTGTGGCCACATTATATTAATAAATAGTAAATTTTTCTCAGAAATTCAATTATTAATACAATTTTCATAAAATTCTTCTGTGTGACCACATTATATCAATAAATAGTAAATTTTTCTCAGAAATTCAATTATTTTAAACACAATTTTCACAAAATTCTTCTAAAAAATTTACTTATTTTTTAAAATTTTACAAAAATTCAATTATTTGCATAAATAATAATTTTTTTGTCAGAGATTCAATTGATTTAAAAAGTTTTAATAAAATTATATTCAAGAATTTAATTATTTTTAGAAATAATTAAATATTTGATGTACTGAAAATCATTAAATTGTATTGAAAATAATTTAATTCTTGGCAAGATTTTTATTAAAATTCTTTAAAATAATGAACTTTTTTTTAATAATTTTTACTGAAAATTTTTAAAATAATTGAATTTTATGAAGAATTTCTTTCAAGTTTTTAAAATAATCGTGTATATTATTAATTTTAATTTAAAATATTCCTATCAAATTTTATTAAAATTACTCATAGAAAATTAAATTCTTTTAAACAATTTTATCATAGTTTTTTTTAATAATTAAATTTCTTTTTAAGAATTTCATTAAATTTTGTATAAATATTGTAATTTTTAAAAATAATATTAATTGAAAATTTTGAAAATGATTGAAATTAACAAAGAATATTATTAAAAACTTATGAGAACAATATTGAATTGTTTAGAAAAATTTTATCACAATTTATAAAAATAATTAAACCTGTTAGAGAAATTTTTTTTTAAATTATCATGAATATAATTGAATTTTTTCCTAGAAATTTTATTAAAATTGTATTGAAAATAATTGAATTTCTACGAATTTTATTATTTACAAAAATAAATTAATTGAATTCTGACCAAGAATATTTTAATTTTTAAAAATAATTGAATTTTTATTAAAACACTTGAAAATAATTGAATTTAAATAATATTATTAAAAATAATTGTATTCTTTCGAGCAATTTCATTAAAATTGTATTGAAAATAATTGAATTCCTCCGAAACATTTCATTATTTATGAAAATAATTGAATTCCTTTAGAGGACTTTATTATTTTTAAAAATATTTTAATTCTTGCGAAGAATTATCTTATTTATAAAAATAATTAAATTGTTTCGAAGAATGTTATCTAAATTTTTGAAAATAATTAAATTTTTATTAAAACTCTTGAAAATAATTGAATTCCTCCGAAACATTTCATTATTTATGAAAATAATTGAATTCCTTTGGAGGACTTTATTATTTTTAAAAATATTTTAATTCTTGCGAAGAATTTTCTTATTTATAAAAATAATTGATTTGTTTCAAAGAATGTTACTTATCTAAATTTTTGAAAATAATTGATTTCTTTGAAGGAATCTTATTAAAAATTTTGAAAATGATGATTTTTTTAAAAGAATTTCATCAAAATTGTTTAAAATAATTGAAATTATATTAGAATTCTTGAAAATATAACATTTTTTAGTTTAAAAAATAATAATAAATGGAACACAGTTGTTTATAATAATTATAATCGTGCAAATTGATTTATTATTTTTTCAATTGTAGCAGCGGCCATTCGGATTAGAAAGAAATTTACCCCAAATTAATTGGTTGATTCTTATAGGAATAAGATAAATTGTTCTAAGTGGGACATATATGTCCCAAAAGGGTTAAAGTGAAACATTTCAAAGAAAGAAATTGTTAAGCTATCTTACCAATTTCTCTAGGGTCGGGAAAGTATATTGGCTGATTAGAAGTAATTGTCGAAAAAAGCGTGTCTGTCATGAGCTCCATATAATCCTCATCAACCATCATGCTGTGCATACTGTCGCCGCCGGTCATCCCACTTGTCCCACAAAACGAATTGCCAACACCAGTTCCAAAACCACTTGAAGTTCCTAATCCGTTGCTCCATTCCAACATATCCATCGACTCCAACTGTTCAAGACGACAATAATTAAGGAATTTTTAAATTACTTTTTAAATCTCAACACTAATTCAAATTCTTCTTTTATTATTTTCTTCAATTTTTAACTAAAATTCTTCTCTAAATCAACTATTTTTAATAATTTTTGAAAAAGTTCTTTGTCAATTTCAGGGCTACCACGGTTTTCCTCATTTCAAATTCCCTGACTTTTCCAGGTTTTCCAGGTTAAAAAACGGAATTTTTCCAGGTTTTTAAAACTACATTTATATTTTATCAAATTTTAATTTTGAATTTTACCAAACTCCCTGATTTCCAGACAAAACGACTTTTTTCCTGTTCTATTACTTTATTATTTATTTATAGTCCATACCTTTCGGTTTCGGACGAACTTCCGGATTACATCTTACATATTCTCTTTATCAAATTTTCATATTTACGCAAAACATAAAAACCGTACATATTGTTCAAGTCCACACATTAAAACATTTTATATCAATAAACTTTAACTTAAATCCTAAAATATACTACAATCCTGTTCTATAACATTTACTTACGAATTTCTTTAATTGTAAAATTACTCGAAAACATCAATAACTTCGTTTTTAAATGAATTTTTAATCATTATTATTTTTTTACAGAAATTAAGATTTTCAAAAATCTTAAATTTAATAACATATAAGAATATTATTATAAAACTTGATGCTATCATTATTTTATATTATAAAAATATTGTTACTGTAATTTCTTCAAAAATATTTTCATTTTAATTCAATTCTTCATTTCTAGAATTTTTAACTAAAATTCTTCTTGAACTCAATTTTTTTTTATAATTTTTGAAAAAGTTCTTCTTTGGGAATTTTTAAATCCATTTGTTTACAATTCAATTTTACCTAAAATTATTCGATTATTCTGACATTCTTCAATGAAAAAAATTAGAAATTAAGGGGATTTGAACCTTGATGACGTCACAGTTTGTGCAAAGCATTAGTTTTAAATCTGTGACGTCATCATGGTTCAAATGCCCTTAAAAACTTCAAATAATTAAAAAAAAATTCCATTAAACTTTTTGAGAAAAATTAATACTAAATTTCCTTAAAAATCTTGTCAAGAATTTAATTATTTTTATAGATAATAAAATTATTTAAATTATTTATAAATTATTTTTAAAATTGACAAAATTCTTCGCAAGAATTCAATTATTTTCAAAATTGATAAAATTCTCAGCAAGAGTTTAATTATTTTCAAAATTGATAAAATTCTTCGTATAAATATTCAATTATTTTCGATATTAATTTTTACGTAATTTCGATTATTCTGACATTCTTCAATTAAATATATATTAGAAAATAAAACCTTGAAGAATTAAAGAAAAATTCAATTAAACTTTTTTAAAAAAATTAATTCCACAGAATAATTATTTAAAAGTATGAAATTAATTTAAAAGTTTTCAGATTTTAATTCGAAACCTTTTCAAAATTCAATTATTTCTAAAAATTGACGCTATATTGATTTCAATATTTAATAATAATCTAAAATTTTAACTGAAATTCATTTTTAAATCAATATTCACTAGAAAAATCCACGAGAATTCAATGATTTAAATACAAAAATAAATATTTTATTAAATAATTGAATGTTTTTTAAAATTGAATTTTCATAAAGAATTTTATCAACAAAATTTTTAAATAAGTTAATTCTATTGACAAATTTTAATAAAATTTTAAGAATAAGTTCATTTTTCGGAAATTTGATTAAAATTTTAATTAAAAAAAATTGAATTTCTCTAGAGAATTTTTTAAAAGTTTTTAAAAATAATTGAAATTTTGCAAAAAATTTTATTAATATTTTAGAAAATAATTAAATTTTGAAGAAAAATTTATAAAGATTATTGAAATTTTGACGAGAATTTTTGTAAATTATTGAACACAATTAAATTTTTGCGCGAAGAATTATATTAATTTTTAAAAATAATTGAATTCTTGAGACGAATTTTATTAAAATGTCTTTTTAAATAATTGAATTCTATTATGAAATTTTATTGACATAGTAGACATTGAAAATAATTTAATTTTGACAGATTTTTGAAATTATTAAAATTTCAACAAAGAATTTTATTAAAATTATTTTGAAAAAAAATTGAATTACATATTACAAAGAATTTCATTAAAATTTATTAAAATAATTTAATTTTTTGAATAAATTTAATTAAAACTTTATAGAAAATAATACTTAAATTCTAATAAATAAATTGTAGCAAAAGTTTTTAAAATAATTGAATTTCTTTGAGGATTTTTAATAAAATTTTTAAGAATAATTTCATTTTTCGAGGAATTCCATTAAAATTGTATTAAAAAAATTAAAAGTCTGCGATGAGTTTTATTATTTATGAAAATAATGAAATGTTAACGAAAAATTCTATTTTCATATTTTCATATTTTTGGAAATAATTGAATTTCTCACAAGAATTATACTATACTTTTGAAAATAATTGAAATTCTGCAATCATTTGTAATTGCTTCAAAATTCACTTTCTTTTAGTGTTTTTAATTAAAATTCTTCTATAAATCCATTATTTTTAATAATCAATTGAAAATATATATTAAAAAATTTAACTAATTTCAGAAGAATTGGAATAATTAAAACTTCTCAAAAATCTACGTTCTTTAAGACGATTTCTAATTAAATTCATTCAAAATTTCAAATTAAAATCTTTTGAAATTCATCTGTACTTATGTAAATTTTAAACGCAACTTTTTTTAAAATTGAATTAATTTTGAAATATTTATGGAAGATTAGATTTCAAGAATAAACTTTAGAAAATAATAATTTTCCAGGATTTCGATCAAAATTCCCTGACTTTTCCAGGTTTTTTCAAGGTTCATAAAATTCCCTGACATTTTCAGGTTTTCCAAGTTTCCAGGTTGCGTGGCAACCCTGCAATTTTCAAATCCATTTATTTACAATTCAATTTTACGAAATTTTATCGATTATTCGGAAATTGTTCGATTGTATATTAGAAAATAAAAACTTTAAATAATTTTAAAAAAAATTCACTTAATCTTCTTCAAAAAAATTAATTCTACAGAAATGTTAGTTAAAAGTATAAAAAATTCAAATTTTTAAAGATTTTAATTTGAAACCTTTTCAAAATTCAATTATTTCTATAAACTCAAGCTTTAATACTTTTAATGTTCAATATTATTATCTAAAATTTTAACTAAAATTCATTTTTAAATCAATTTTTATTAGAAAAGTCTACGAAAATTTAATTATTTAAATAGGTACAAAAATAAATAATTTATTGAATAATTGAATGTTTCAGTAGGAATTTATCAATATGTTTTTTTAAATAATTGAATTCTTTTGGAAAATTTTAATAAAATAGAAATTGAAAATCATTGAATTCAGGAAAGTTTTTAAAAATAATTGAAATCTTGCTAAGAATTTTATTAAAATTCTTGAAAATAATTTAATTTCAGAGAAGAATTTTATTATTCATAAAGGAAATTGAAATTTTGAAGAGGATTTTTTAAAATTTTGAATATAATCTAAAATTTTAACTGTAAATAATTTTTAAATCAATTTTTAATAGAAAATTCTACGAGAATTGAATTATTTGAATACAAAAATAAATAATTTTTTCAATAATTGAATGTTTCTTAAAATTGAATTCTCATAAAGAATGTTATACACGAATTTTTAAATAATTGAATTCTTCTGATGAATTTCAATAAAATTTTTAAGAATTATATTATATTTTTCGAGGAATTTGATTAAAATTGAAATACAAAAAATTGAAATCCTCTGATGACTTTTATTTTTATAAAAATAATTGAATTATTGCGAAGAAATTTAAAAAAAAATGTTAATTGAATTCCTGTTCAAAATTTTTTTATTAATGAAAGTTATTGAATTATTGCGAAGAAATTTATCAAAAATTTGTAAATAATTGAATTCCTGTCCAATTTTTATTATTTATAAAAATAATTAAATGTTTGCGAAGAATTTTATTAAAATTTTATTTAAATAATTGAATTCTTTTGGAAAATTTTATTAAAATAGTAGATATTGAAAGTCATTTAATTGAGAAAAATTTTTGAAAATAATTGAAACTTTGCCAAAAATTTTATTAAATTTTTTTGAAAATAATTGAATTTTGGAGATAAATTTTCTTAATTATAAAGAAAATTGAAATTTTTACGAAAATTAAAAAAAAATTGAACATAATTGAATTTCTCTGAAGAATTTTATTACTTTTCAAAAGAATTGAATTTCCACAAATAATTTTCCCAAAATTCAATTTTTTGGGTTTTTTTTAAGTAAAATTCTTCTATAAATCCATTTTTTAAAATAATTAGTTCAATATATTCCAAAAATTAAACTAGTTTTAGAAAACTGAATTATTAAAATTTTTCAAAAATCTATGTTCTTTAAATTTTCTAATTAAATTTATTGAAAATTGAAATTTTATAAAATTTTGCAATTGAAACCTTTTGAAGTTGATCTATTTATGAAAATTGTAAATTCAACTTTTTTAAAATTCAATTAATTTTGAAACATTTAAGTAAAATTATTCATTAAATAATTTATAAGTAATAATTTTATTAGAAATAATTTTCTTACTTTTTTTTTTTTTTTTTTTTTTTTTTTTTTTTTAATAGGTGCTTATAATTTATTACAGATTCCTCCCTTAAAATGCATTTAAAAAGCAATTTTCATTGATAAATTAATATTAAACATACCACATCTGTGCCATCCTTGTTGGTCCAGCCAAGGATCTTGTTCCGGTAGAACATCCGCCATTTCTTGTATTCTGCTGTCACAGCTGCAAGTTTTCTCTTCCAGTATTTACCCTCTAACACTACAGCCTATAAAAAATTGAATTTTATCTCATAACTTCGCATTCATCTGTCTGATAAAATTTCACCTTATATTTTAGAGATCTATAAAGAGCAATTAAAAAAATTTTCTTCTACTATATATATAGTTAACATTTGAAAAATTTTAACTGACGGATGTAGTACGAAAATAGATTTTAAAAAATTTAGTTAGTTTCATTTCATAAATACCTACAGCATTAAGTTAAATTTCATCGAACCATGTTTAATATACGTTAAACATTAAAAAGACACTAAACATTCACTCCTCTAGGTTTATCTAATCAGATGATTTTTACTCGTTTACTCTTTATCAGAAAAGACTTTTTTAAAACTTCTTATTTTTATCTCAATAATTCTCTTAATAGATAGTTGTACATTATTTAAAACGTTTAGATAAAAATTCTTATCGACAGTTGTATTGAAAAAATACAAATCCAGATAAATTAAAAAACAAATATTTCATAAAGATTTAGACAAAGTTGTTTAGAAAACAATATTATACGTACAAAAATAAAGTGCTACAAATGGAGGAGGAAAATATTTTTACAATGAATTTTTAAATATCTGGAGATTATTTTTCCTTTGTGAAAATAGTTCGATTTGACCATAAAAAATTTCGGCTTTCGATAAGGGACTAGAAATACTTAACCCTTCACAAATGTCAAAAGAGAATTAAAAAAATTGCTTTTCACTTATTCTAATTTCACTAACAGACTGGTTTAAATAATAATTTTCTTTTTTATGTCCTGCAGGATCCATTAATGTAATCAGGGCTCGGATAGAATTTAAGACTCAAAAAAAGTCGCTTTAGTCGCATAAATTCACAACAAAAGTTATGAAAAGTCGCATAAAATTTGCAAAAAAGTCGAAAAAAAGTCGCATGGAATTTTAGAGAAAACGGCAAAAAGGAAACAAGAAATTCTCAAAATTGTAAAAAAATCACATTTCTCGACAACACATACTTTAATATCAAACGATCCGGAATAAAATTTAATAAAATTTAATAAAATTCAAAGCAAAATTTTAAGGGCATTTGAAACTTGATGACGTCACACATGCTTTGCACAAACTGAAACGTCATCAAGGTTCAAATGCCCTTAATTAGGTATTTTTAACATTTTTTTAAAAATTCTCTTTAAAATGTAAAATATTTTTATAAATAATAAAATTCTTCTCCTAAATTCAATTATTTAAACAAAAATTTAATAAAATTCTTGTCAAAATTTCAATTATCTTTATAAATAATAAAATATTCTTCTCTAAAATTCAATTATTTTCATAATTAATAAAATTCTTCGCAGAAATTCAATTATATTCAAAAATTTTTTTTAAATTCTCGTCAAAATTTTATAAATAATAAAATTCATTATGGAAATTTAATTATTTTTAAAATTTCTGATAAAATTCTAATACAAAATTTAATTATCTTCAAAAGTACGAAAATTCTTCGCTGAAATTCAATTATTTTCAAAAAATTATTTTAAATTCACCTCACAATTTCAATTATCTTTATAAATATCAAAAATTCTTCTGAAAAATTCAATAACTTTTAAACATTTTTAAAGAAATCTGTTCAAAATTTTAATTATTTTTATAAATAATAAAATTCTTCTCTGAAATTTAATTATTTGTAAAAATAATAATAAAATTCTTGTCAAAATTTCAATTATCTTTATAAATAATAAAATTCTTCTCTAAAATTCAATTATTTTTATAAGTAATAAAATTCTTCGCAGAAATTCAATTATATTCCATTTTTTTTCAAATTCAAATTTTCTCGATAAAATTCTTTACAAAATTCAATTACCTTCAAAAGTAAGAAAATTCTTCTGCAAAATTCAATTACTTTTAAATATTTTTAAAAAAATCTGTTCAAGATTTTAATTCTCTTCATAAATAATAAAATTCTTCTCTGAAGTTTAATTATTTGTAAAAATAATAATAAAATTCTTGTCAAAATTTCAATTATCTTTATAAATAAAAAGATTCATCCTAGAAATTCTATTATTTTTAAATTTTTTTTAAAATTCATCGTCAAAATTTTATTTATCTTATTCATAGATAGCAAAATTAATCCTAGAAATATAATTATTTTCAAAAGTTCTGATAAAATTCTTTGCAAAATTCAATTATCTTCAAAAGTAAGAAAATTCTTCGCAGAAATTCATATTTTCGAATTTTTTAAATTTCTCCTAAAAATTTCAATTATCTTTGTAAATATCAAAATTATTCTGCAAAATTCAATTACTTACTAATGTTTTATAAATTTCTTCTCAATAATTCAATTATTTTCATAAAAAATAATTACAATTTTTTTTTAATATAAAGTCGTTATAATATAAAATAATGTCGAAGACTCGGAGTGATCGATTTCTTCATGTTTTATAACAATTTTTTGTAAGTTGTTTAACTTCAAAAAGGTTTGAATTTGAATCTTTTGAAGAATTTTATTTCCTATGGAAAAATAATAATGAAATATTTATTTAAAAAAGAAGTTATTGATGTTTTCGAAAAATTTGAAAGAAATTTGTAAATAAATGTAACAGATCATTTTTTTGACTAAAACTTTTTCCTTCAATTTTCTAAAAATTTTAAAAGTTTCACTTTCTAATTGACAAATAGAATTTATAAACATTTTTTTTCATTAATTTTTAAAAAACTTTAAATTTTATTAAAGCAATTGTAATTAAGAAATAGAAATGATGCAAATTATTGTTTCCTTATGAAAATTGAGAATTTCCTACAAAAATATTAAGAAACGAGATAATATGTTGTTTTTTTCCCTAAAGAGAAGAATGATTTTGTGAAGAATATTGTTTACAAAAAAAAGATTTCTGTCATTTACAATTTAAGTCGAAAAGTAATTGAAAAATTTGAAAAAAGTCGATTAGTCGCATTTTTTCACAAAAAAGTCGAAAAAAAGTCGAAAAAGTCGCACAATCCGAGCCCTATACAGTATAGGATCCTTGTTCCAATTTTCTGCAGGAGTACCTGACACGTACCTATGCAGGTTTTTGTCAAGGATTCTTTAAAAGATTTTTATCTGGATGCTACAAGTTTCTGAGCATGCTTGTGGCAAGCTTTTGAATAATGAGAAAATTTTACTACTCGCAGGAAAACAAAACTACTCATTTAACAAAAGTTAAATGAGTAGCCCACATTTTTAGTAATGCTCTTTATTACTAGGGTCTAGATATTTTCACTAGAATATGTTTATTAATAATAATATATTATAATTTCAATTATAGATTACCTCTGGTTTGTTGTGTGTATCGACATCAAGTGGCGAAGCAAATTGACAAACTAATGTATTTTGTTTTAAAATAACTGAAACAAAAAAAATTATTCATCTGCTTAAATTCTGTTAAAAGTATTTAATCTTATGGTTAAAAATTAACTTAAGAGTCAAAATACATAAAATACGAATTAGGCCTAACTTTTTAAATAAGTTTTCACTATTTCAACGATCAGTTAATTTTTGATAAACCATTAATTATTTTTTTAACTCATATAGTATAAAAATTTAGTCTAAATTTTACGTATTCACATTAATTAATGGAGTATTTATGTAATGTTATGAAGTATAAATATATATATATATATATATATATATAATACCGGCAAAACCCGAAGAATTGACTAGTCAATTCGCGAAATGCCGGGGCCATTTAAACTTAAAATAAAATTATAAATAATTAATTAATAACTAATAATTAATTTAATTTAAATTTAGGCAAATTGGACATTTTTTCTAAAAAGGCTTCGTCATTTCACGAATTACTTAGTCAATTTGAGAAATAATTGATTAAAGAATCCAGTGTATAGGTAGAATTAACTTATATTCTTATATTTTTTGAATAAACATAAGTTTAAAATTAAACGTGAAAAAAATTGGTATGAAGAGGAAGAAAAGTGAACTATTTGTTAATTAATATTGTTTATAACAATTGAAATAAATTATTTTATGCTTTATTAATGGTTTGATGGTCATATTGGATTAATTTCAACAGACAAAATTTTGACTTTTGCGAGGATTCAATTATTTAAATATAAAAAAAAATAATTTATTAAATAATTGAATATTTCTTAAAATTGAATTTTTAAAAATAATTTTAAAATAATTAATTAATTAAAAATTAATTAATTAATTAAAAATAATTTTTTAAAATAATTAAATTCTTTCGGCGAATTAAAAAAAAATGTTAATATAATAAATTCAATTTTCTATCATTTTATTTAAAATTGTATAAAAAACAATTTAAATTCTGCCATAAGCTTTTGTTATTTCTGAAAATAATTGAATTCTTGCAACGAATTTTATTTAAAATTTGTTTAAAGAATTGAATTCCTGTGAAGAATTTTATTTGTGAAAATAATTGGATTCCAGAGAAAAATATTATTATTTATAAAAATAATTAATTTCTTGTGAAGAATTTTATTCAAATGTTTTTAAATAATAATTATTGAATTTCTCAGAATTTTTTAAAACTTTAAAAAAAAAAATTAAATTCCATCTAGAAATTTCATTAAAAAATTGAAAATAATTGAAATCTGACAAAGAATTAAAGTATTCTATAATCAATTTTATTATAATTTTTGAAATTTACAAAGCATTTTATCAAAATTTTTTAAAATAATTGAATTCTCGAGAATATTTACTTATGAAAATAATTGATTTCTTGCGAAAAATGTTATTCAAATTTTTTTAAATAATTTGAATTCACATAAAAAAATGTATTTTTTGTGAAAATAATTGAATTCTTAAGAAGAATTACATTGAAAATTTTATTAACTAAATCTTGTAAAGAATTTTGTCAACATTTTTTTAAATAATAGAATTTTTAAAAAGAATTTTATTTAAATTTTTTGAAATAATTGAATTTCTCAGAACTATGTTTTTTAATTCTCTGAATATATTTGAATTTTTTCGAGACATTTCATTAAAAAATTAAATTAATTGAATTGGTTCGAAGAAATTTATAAAAAATTGGTAAGTAATTGAATTCCTGTGAAATTTGTATTAAAATTTTGTTTAAATAATTGAATTCTTTTGGAAAATGTTATTAAAATAGTAGATATTAAAAATAATTTCTAAGTAACAATTTTATGATAGTTCTTGAAGAATTAAGTTATTTAAAAATAAATTAAAGAGAGAAATTAAAATTATTGACAGAAATAGAAAAAATTAAAGTTTTTGTATTAGAATTTGTGGTAGTTTGATAGTTTATGAGGCAAACAAAAAAGACTCTAAACTTCAGAATTTTTTTATAAATTCTAAAGATTGAATTTTTTACAGTACTTTTAATAAAAATCCCTGACCAATTCTAATTTCCCTGACTTCCCTGACCTGTGGCAACCCTGGTAATGTATGTAACTTTAAACTTATATTTTTATGGACTTTATAATATAGTATATCTGTCAAAAATATTAAACATTCCATTTTTTTTGCTACTTTTTTACTGTAAATTTTACTTCAAATTTCATAATTTCTATTTTACTTCAAAAACTAGAAGCACTCACCCTACAGATACAAATGTTTTATTTTTTCACAAGAAACTGGAATTAACTATTGTCAAACATTTAAAGTAATTTTATTTTTTGAATTATCCCTTTAGAAAAAAGTAGTCGTGGTCTCAGGTCAAAGCACATTTTACGACGACGCATTTTGAATTACGTTTCGACAATGAATATTAAATTTCAAATTAAAGAAAACAATCATTCCTTTCAAGAAAAATACATATTATCAATATTTCTTGTGATTCGAATATGAAACTTGTGTCGTTCAAAGTTGTTGCTTGTTTCGTCAAGTGAACTTTGATTGGCGAGACAAAACCGGAAATGAATAAGTAGAGAATTATTTATTCAAAGTAAAAATGAACTTAATTTCAACTGAAACGTAACTTCGAATATTGAAAGACGGGAGGAAACTGAAGTGTTTAAGTCACCTTGACAAGTTTTTAATGTAGTCAGTAGAAAAGTAATTGGAGGGGCACAACGGATAGTAGAGATGATAAATAAATAGAAAATTATAACAAACTAAAGAAAATAAATAAGAAGAAAAGGGCATTTCCATGAAAACATGGACATAGAGTTGAAAATTTAAATTCGGTTATGGGAGATAAATAAATTAATCCCACTGAACATAATACATCTAATTTTATTATCCAAAAAAGATTTTCAAATAAAATAATTAAAAACTATATTTTAAGACTTTTTTTTATACATTATGAGTACAAGTGTAAATTCACCTTCAGGGTTGCCACGCTTTTGCTCATTTCAAATTCCCTGACTTTTCCAGGTTTTCCAGATTAAAAAAAGGAATTTTTCCAGGTTTTTAAAACTACATTTATATTTTACAAAATTTTTAAATCAAACCTTTTTGAAATTAAACATCTTATAAAAACTTGTTATAAAACATGAAAATATCGATCACTCCAATGCAATCGATATCTTCATGTTTTATAATAATTAAAAATGTTGGACTGATAAAATCATCATTTTATACCTATTATTATTACAAGAATATTGTTACTGTAACTTATTCAAAATTACTTTCATTATTTTAATTCAATTATTGTTTTCCACAATTTTTGACTAAAATTCTTCTTTACAAAGTGTAAATTAATTATTATTAATAATTTCTGAAAAATTTCTTTCAACATTTTCAAATCCTTTTGTTTACAATTCAATTTTACGAAATTTCATCGATTATTCAAGTACTTGGAAATTCTTCAATCAAATATATATTAGAAAATAAAAACTTCAAATAACTTAAAAAAAAATCAATTCAACTTTTACAAAAAAATTAAAGCTACACATTTTTAAGTTAAAAGTATGAAAAATTCAAACATTCAAAGATTATAATTTGAAACCTTTTTAAAACTCAATTATTATCTAAAGTTTTAACTGAAATTCATATTTGAATTAATTATTATTAGAAAATTCTACGACAACTTAATTATTTAAATACAAAAAAAAATAATTTATTGAAGAATTCAATGTTTTTTAAAATTCAACTCTCATTTAAAGAATTTTATCAACAAATTTTAAAATAGGTAATTAAAATTCTTTTCACGAATTTCAATACCTAAGATTTTTAAGAATAATTTCATTTTTCGAGAAATTAGATTAAAATTGGAATAAAAAAAATAAAATAAAGTTATTGAATTATTGCGAAGAAATTTATCAAAAATTTGTAAATAATTGAATTCCTGTGCAATTTTTATTATTTATAAAAATAATTAAATGTTTGCGAAGAATTTCATTAAAATTTTATTTAAATAATTGAATTCTTTTGGAAAATATTATTAAAATAGTAGATATTGAAAATCATTTAATTGAGAAAAATTTTTGAAAATAATTGAAACTTTGCCAAAAATTTTATTAAATTTTTTTAAAAATAATTGAATTTTGGAGAAGAATTTTCCTAATTATAAGGATAATTGAAATTTTGACGAAAATTAAAAAAAAAAATTTGAACATAATTGAATTTCTCTAAAGAATTTTATTACTTTTCAAAATAATTGAATTTCTGCAAATAATTTCCCCAAAATTCAATTTTTTGGGTTTTTTTTAAGTAAAATTCTTCTATAAATCCATTTTTTTAAATAATTAATTCAATATATTCCAAAAATTTCATTCAATTCAATTTCATTGAATTGAGAAAAGTTTTTGAAAATAATTGAAATTTTGTCAAGAATATTATTATCATTTTTTTAAATAATTGAAATATTGCCAAGAATTATATTAAAATTTTTGAAAATAATTGAATTTTAGAGAAAAATTTTAATATTTATAAAAATAATTGAAATTTTGACTGTAACTTTTTTTAAACTTTTGACCATAATTAAATTTCTGCTAAGAATTTTATAACTTTTGAAAATAATTGAATTCTTGAGACGAATTTTTTAATAATATTTCTTTTTTAAATACCTAATTATTTTTAATACAAAAATAAATAATTTATTGAATAATTGAATGATTCTTAAAATTCAATTCTCATAAAGAATTTTATTAACAAATTTTTAAATAATTGAATTCTATTGACGAATTTTAATAAAATTTTTAATATAATTACATTTTTCGAAGAATTCGATTAAAATTGTATAAAAAATAATTGAAATTTTGCAATGAGTTTTATTATCTATGAAAATAATAATTGAATTCCTGTAAAAAATCGTATTACATATTTATAAAAATAATTAAATCTCTCTAAACATAAATTGAATATTTTTGAAAATAATAGATTTATTGCGAAGAAATTTATAAAAAATGTTTAAAATAATTCATTTCTTTTGGAAAATTTTATTAAAATAGTAGATATTGAA